AATTCATGGATCAAGAAACTTAGGGAAGAAAACCGGAGCCCAGAGCTTTGGCTCGGCCCGTGCCGTGGCGGCACAGCCAGCCTTCCAGGCCCCGAGCCGCGGATGCCGGCTGGGGGAGAGGGAAGAGGCAGAGTGGGGAAACAACCCTACGCTGGCTCCTTGCTCAGCTTCCATTCCCCCTCCACATTTACAGCCTTCACGATTGCCTTTGGCTTTCTGAACTAAATCATTAGTCCCCAGCGTAGCTCCCATGCCCTAATTTAACTCCGCTGCCTGCCTGCACCCCTGCCTTTCAGCCGCAGTAATTAGGGCCCTGTCAGGGCACGGCGCTCCAGACCTGCACCCTGAGAGCAGCCCCCCCACCCCGCCGGTGCCTTGGGGGGACGCCGGGACTGGCACCAGACCTGGGGCAGCCTCAAACATCTCCGCTCATTACAGAACCACGCTGCTGCCTTCGGTGCTACGGCATCAGACCTTTATTTTTTTTTTTAATGGCAAAAGAAAGTCAAAATATAATGAGCGTGCCCTTTTAGCAGACACCTACTCGGTGGGGTTTGATCTGTGAATAAGTCCCTTTCAGACATTTGGGAAGAGAAAATTGTATTTTTACTTCTGAATCATGTTTCTTTGTTTCCTAATTGGAGATGCCACAGGTTTGAGCATCAGGCAGATACATGAAAGACTTCAGATTTTGACGCCAACCCCTCAGATGTCAAACTGTACTTCTAATTGGGGTCGCCGATAGAGATCTTTACCCTTCTTTCGGCTGCCACCTTTGTGCCAACTCCTACATTTGTTTGGGCTTCTATTATCTCATGTGATCATTTGCATCTAACTTTGCACAGCAAACGCAAGTCCAGAGCCAGGAAATAAAACTGCAGCTGCCTTGCAACTCTTCTACCCACCAGCAAAACCCTCCCATGGCCTGAAAACACAAGGACTCGAGCTGAACGAAAACCTGTAAAACAAATAAAGCAGCACGTTGCACTCAGGAAAGCTGTCACGAGTGACTCTGATCCTGTGGCCGCTACCGTCCACCCTCCGGCAGAGCACGGCCGCTGCTTTCGGGGCGGGTTTGCTCTGCGAAAAGGCTGTGACCCGTCCTGCAGCCTGGAGGGACGCCCAGTAATGGTCACCCCACGGGGACCTGTTGCTGCTCGGGATGGTGCCGAAGCTACAAGCCCCACGGGATCTCTCTTCCCTGGTGAGTCCTGCTGGGCTGCATTTACCGACACACAAGCTGGGATGTTTCTTCTCATTGGCTTCTCGCGCCGCCCTCACACCGGCAGTAACTCCCGCCCGTGCAGGGATCTCAGTGGACACAAACATGAGTTAAATACACGCGGCGGTTAGTTACTGGGGTCAGTGCCATTAGCTTCTGCTGCCAAACTCCAGGAGTGGAAACTGCAGGAATTTCAAATAATATCCCTCAATTTACCGGGTTGCTTCTTATATGGGGCGGAGCGGCCCAGGGCACGCGGAGGAGCGCGGTGGCTCCCCTGGACGCTCTCAGCGATGCCACTCGCAGCTCTTGGTCCAGCGTTGAGGAACCTGTGGAGCATCAGCGGGATCAGCCTGTACTTACTGCGGGAGCTTCGCCCCCCCCGTAAGGCATCACAGCCTCTGAGAAAATTATAAAGAGTGAAGGACTTCACCGGGTTAAAATCCCTTCCTGGTTCGGAAGCCGGTTAAACGCAGCCAACCGAAATTGCCTCTGTGCCTTTCCAAGTCTGGGGCGGCAGGAGGCCAGACGTGAGAGGGATGGGGGGGCTCTGGCTCCCTGGGGGGCCTGACACCTCCTTCCCACCTAATCCGAACCCGCTTCTGCTCCGGAGCCAACGGGACTCGCGGGTGCAGGTCTCTGAGGCTCGTGAGGGCTGGTCCCCTCCTGTCACCACTGCGGTTTGGTACCACGCCTCCTGTGCCTCCGTACGTAAATTTTGATGCCTTTGATCTAAGTTAAATGAAGCATTAAAACGTGTCAGACTTCTTGGTTCCAAGCACTGGTGACACTAAGGATTTTATTGAGCAGCCAAAGCATGACCAGGTCTGCCCAGGGGTGCTCTCCTGCACTTACTCTTACCTATAAATGGTATTTATCAATGATATAAGTAATAAAATAAGTACTTTTAAGAGCAAGGCAACACTTTTTATTTTTATTTAAAAAGGCCTTGATGGCAGGAATATAGTGTAAAAATCATTGGAAAAACTAAAAGGCATTGATACATATTGGAATATACACTTTTTACATAAATTACATTTATTTATTTATTCTTTCATTTGAGGTTCTTATTCGGTATTGAGGTCTAATAGTTAATAGGTCCTGGGATCTGGACGTTTAGACCACCATAGTCTAACATGTACATGTTCATGGGCCATTGCTGAAAGAGAGGGAGAGAAAAAGAAGGCAAAAGTCTCTGTTAGGACACAACACAAAACCATGCATACATCAAATCTCTGACATGTTCTGACACGGGCTGTTGCTCCCGCTTTCAAAATAAGAGAAAGGAACCAACCCCAAACCAAAACACCACCAGCGAACCTGACAAAAAAAGCCTTCTAAGTTTGTATTTTTCTTGTGCCTTTTTTTTTTTTTTTTTTTTTTTATTTGTTATTTTTTAAAAGCATTTGGTATCATCCACGACTGAAGCCAAGCCCTGAGGGAGCGCAGTTGGATGCATCTCCCTGTTTTGTTTCCTATTTTCAGTTTTGCTGCAGGCCGGGGCTCCGCATCGCTCCCGGGACGGAGCCGGCGCAGCTCCGGCCGCGGGGAACCGCCGGCTCCTGCCCAGAGGGGCCGCGGCCCCGCCACCAGCGCCGTGTTTTAACCGGTGGGGCCGGGGGGGGGTTTGCTGGAGCCTGCCTCACCTGTGGCTCCCGCTAATGCTGAGCATCCCCCCGGGGCTCTGGGCAGGATTGATGCGGGAGAGCCCCGAGGGGCGGCGGGCACTTGGCTCCGCTGGCCCCCCGCCCCGGCCAAACCCGGCAGGAAAAGGCAGCCCCAAAGCTGCGCCCCCTCCTTTGCCAAACCTGCTTGTGCCATTTTATGTCACACTTTTAGTGTTTGTCAGGCGGAGGGAGGTGGTGACGGGTTCGAGGAGAGCAGAGAGCAGCGTCCTGAAGCAGAAAGATAGGTAGGCAGTAACCCCCCTAATATTTGGAAGGCTTTACCACAAGTGAGATCTGATTTGTTGATGATGTAGACTCCATATTGGAAGAGGAGGAAGAGGAAGATGAGGAAGAGGAAGATACCGAGTTCCCTTCAGAGATCCTCTTCCGCTTCCGTTTGGGAACGCTGGTGTCTTTCTCTGCAGGGGGAGAGGGAAGGCATGAGGGGTGCAAGCCCTGCGGGTGGTCCCTAAACGTGGGGACCCATCCCGCCTCCCGCTGCGCACCCCCCGCGGCGACCCGCTGTGCCGCCGCTGGCGACACGGTCCACGACCTGGCACGGAGCTGCCAGCTTTCCTCAGGCACTGGCAAAGAAAATCCCCCAAATAAATGAACCCCAAACTCCAGCACTTACAGAGCCTGATATCCCACAGACCTGTGTCTGTGCTGGATGCTTTGGGGCTGTGAAGGTGACAGCTGTGATGACAACATGTCCATATATATCTTTGTATATAGGATATACCTATATATATCTGCACATATAAAGTTTCTCATGCATCTCTTTTTACATCAGGTTGCAGGTGTGCTCTTGCATGCCAGATCTCTCTCCTCTACCTAGCCACCTATTTTCATAAATCTGAGTTCCTAATTATCTCTGGGGCTTCTAATTCTGATTAAAACTGGCTGAGGTTTATCGCGGAGGATGGGACAGAGAAAAAAATGCATTCGCGGTGATCACAGAAACCTTGTTTCCTTAGAAGCTCAACTGCTAAATCGTGGCTCAAATTAAGGGCTTTAACCAGTGAATAAATTGCTCATGGTGAGTAAATTGCTAATGGGAAAGGGATAATCATATCCTCCAGAATGTGCTGAAAGTTTGAGTCTAACAGCTCAGTCTCTCCCCAGCTCACAGTCGTCTAAGAGGATGGTTTGCTCCTGAACAGATACTGAGCCTGAGTTTTCTTTTTCCAGGTAGGATCTTCTCCCCAGCCTCCCCCAGGGATGCAGGAGGTTCGAACGCCTCCTCCCTGCCCTCACCTATTTTGCCTGTGTATTCTCTCTGCCGCAGGGCAGGGAAAGCCACAGTTCTTTCCTAGCCCTCCGCTTACCTGTTTGTTTGGCCTCAGTGCAGATTTCAGCAAACGGCCTGCGTGAGAGACAAGGGGGTGAGAGCGGGTGGACGCTGCCGTTTCCCTCCATGTTCCTGCCCCTGCTGGGACACAGCCCAGTCCCCGACCCCGAGCTGCCCCCTCTGACACCCCTCTGCGCGGGGATGGGACACGGAGCCTCCCCACTGCTCCCTGGAGGGAAGCAACCCGAGATAACCCAGCCGGGCCTCTGAGCTGCCCCGTTATCCGTCCCTCTGCCATGCTCCTTTCCCAGCATCATCACACTCTGCAAGAAAGAGGGGATAAACCACCCCTGCCAGCGCTTTGCTGTGCCCACCCGTGGCCGAGCACGTCCCTGCGGCGCAGGACAGTGGATACTGGGGATGGACTGAGTCCTCCGTGGGTACGTGGCGGCGTGGCCCCGCTCCGGCGGCACCGTGGTGACTTACCCCGCTCATGGCTGGAGAAGCAAGGGCAATACTTAACGAACAGAAACCTTCCCCGGTTGCAGAGCTGGGGGAACTTACTGGAGCTGGTTTATAATCACCATCCGGATGCTCTCCCGTGCCTTCAGGATCTTCTCCAGCCGATGGATGTCATAGGTATTGGGGTTTCTGAAAGGGATATCATCTGGCAGCCCAGTAACCTCCACAGCGTCAGGACTGTCCCTGATGAGTTTATAGGGCACCATGACCGGCCGGTTCAAGCCCAGAGCCTCTCCTGTAACAGCAGAGCAGAGGACAATGCGCCGGCTTTACCCCACAGGGCCCCAGATCCAACCAACCGAAGGACCAAGAGCCCTGGGAGGACTTTGGGAAGCCACAGCTGCTGCGATGCCCAACCTTTGCTTGCAGCCACGTCCCACCCAGCTGTTTCATGGCTGCCTGCCCAATTTATTGCCTCCTCCGTTAGTCTCCATGTAGGATCCTGCCAGGAGTCTCAGGCAAGTCCTGTTTCACAGCACCAGCACTTGCACACCCGCCTCTCCTCTGTGCAGAGCACACCCAGTGTTACCCTTGCACCAGCCCATGGCTGGGCCAGCAGCAGCACGTGGGAGACAGCCCAGGAGAGGGGGCAAAGGGGAGAGATGTGCCCGTCTCCTCTTGCCTCCGGCTGTCAGCAGGTTTGGGGGTCACTGGGGTGGAGATCACATCCATCGCTCATCATCACACCACAGCACTCCTGCTCATTTTTTGAATCACTTTATCCCTTTGGCCTCCACAACATCCTATGGCAGTGAAATACCACAATTTAATTCCTTGCTGCATTAAAAATGTTTCCTTCTGCACAATTTAAACCTGCTGCCCACCTCTCTGGGTACCCCTTTAGTTTTTGCACGGCAGAGAGCAGTGAACATCCCTTCCTCCTGTGCTGGTCCTGACTGTAAGAGCCTGCTTTTGCCTCACGTCTCTACAGCCCCCAAACCTGAAGGTGGGAGCAGCCCCTCAGCCACATTTCTGGCTTTCCTTGCAGGGAGTTCGTCCCTGGAGATCTCCTGGCACCTTGTGCTCCATAAGCAGTGCCAGGACCACGGGAACGCAGGGATCTGCTGTGGGCTCAGCCCCAAAGTGGGGGGAGTGCTGCTGAGCCGGGGCGGACGGGGATGCTCAGAGCATGGGCACCAGCCTCCCTGGGAGCTGCGCCCGCACGCTGGCACCTCCAACGGGGCAAAGTCACCCCCAAAGCAGCACACAGCCCATGCCGCGAGCAGCACCCCAAAATAAACAGGGTTTGTGGGAAGGGCGAGCAGCCTTGACAAAGGGAGACTTGAGAAAGGAGGGGAATGACATTGCCCACCGCTTTGCTCTCATCCTGGCTATTTTCCTTTCCCTTCTGGCAGTTACTCTGGGGAGGGAGGTGAGGCCGCACGGAGGCAGTGGGGTGCCACCGAGCCGCCGTGGCCTGGCTGCGCAGCCCTGGGGAGTCACAGGTTGAGAAATAACCGCCCAGAGAAATAACTCAAGCTGTGCCCCGGCGGCAGCGAGGGGACCAGCCACGGCCAGGGACCGGCTGCTACTCCTGCTGCGTCTTTTCCCAGCGACGGGTGGAAGGAGGCATTCGCTAAGCAGCACCAGGAGCCTGCAAACAGCATTTTCAAACCTTCTTCCATCTCCCGACCTCCTTTTCTGCCGTGGCTCCAGCAAGCTTTTCCCCCGGCGGGCTGCGGCTGCAGCCTTGCTCCCAGCCCGGCAGGCAGAGCAGGCAGGGGCTGCCTGCCAGCAGCCTGGCGCAGGGCAGGCACGCGCAGCGCGCACGTCGCAGCTCAGGACACCTTAAAAACGCATCAAAGCCTGACACCAGACTGAACGAATCCTGCTGGTTTTCCATCCCCCCCCCCCCCTCCCCTCGCCAAGGATGAGCTGCCAACAAGAAGGTCACGGTCCCACCTGCCGGGAGCGAGACACGGGAACGTCCCCGGGGACAGGCTGTACCGTGAAGCAGTGGGATGAAACCTGTGCTGCAGCAGGCTGCCGTGCGCTCCGCCTATAAATAGAGGCCTTCAGTCGAATTAATTTTAACTATGGCTGCTGTCAGCAAAAACAAACTCGCTTGGCGATGCGTGCAGAGGGGAGACTCACCGTATTTTTCATTGAAAAGCTCTTTCACTTGCTCTCGGAGAATCACCTTCTCTCCGAGCCTGTTGGCATCATCCTCGTCTGCAAGGCAAAAAAGGGCAGGGAGTAACACACCCCGCTTCTTTCCGAGCCCCCGGAAACCCCGTCCTGCTGTCACAACACACAACCGTGTCTCTGTCCCCCCCGCCCCAGTGCGGCATGGGGGCACCTCAGCGGTGGCGGCGTCACCTTTCAGAGCCGTGCAAAGTAGCTGTAAAATGCTGCCAAATCGGCATTTGCCACGCGCTGCCGCGGCTCAGAGCATTTTACATCCACTTTGCGGTGCTGTAAATGACTGCAAAATATGCAAAGCAACGGAGACTCAGGCCCTCAGTGCCACGAATGCTCCCACAAGTGATATCAAGGAATGAGATAGCGCTTTTATAGCCGGGCTCCTTAGTACAGTATTGTTTTATAATACGCCATATAATCAGCTTGGCTTTACTAGCTTTTTTAATTATCCTCATCATGCCAAACAGTTTCTCCTCCGTTCCCTCATTTCAAACGACGTGCCTATGTCAGTAGATTCTTTTCCCCCAGCTATTCAGCATCCTCAGGGGGCTCCAGGAAAAATGACTGGGGTCAGTACTGACCCCTTCGATGCTTTTTCACCCCGCAGGTGTATAAAGCACCAACTGAATGAACCTCATCTGCCTCTCGCCGGGGTTATCCCTCCAGCCCCGAGCCCGCCGGGGTGCGCAGCACAGGGCTGGCTCAGTGGGGTCTCCTCCCAGAGAGGAGGCATCGCCACCACGAGCCTCAGCACACCCAAGGCAGGCACCTTCACCCAGGCTGGCATGCCACAGGGTGAAAACCCGGGGTGGTTATTTAAAACATCAAGGTGAGCCCTGCAAACCTCAGCGTGAGGGACCCAAGCATCCTCTGCTCAGGGGCTGTGGCTATTTAATTTGATTTTGAGCAAACATGTGATTTTGATTCTGATTTTGAGCAGTCACATGATTATGATTTTGATTATTTTGAGCAATCTCATGATTTTGATTTTGGCTTCAAGTTGGCTTGCAGTTTTGTTTTAAACACAAACTGAAAACCTGATGCAAGTCCCTGCCCTCCTGCACGGGGCCCCAGAGCCCAGCGCCCAGCACCCCCAGCAGAGACCACACGCCTTGGCCATCCTGCTGCTGAGGGTCCTGGAGAGAAGCTGGCACCCTTAAATCTCCACACCCCACTACTTGCAGGGTACAGTCTCAAAAAAGCCTCTTTTCCACCTGGAAAACAATAGTTTTGTCTGGATACAACTAAGAGAAAAAAAAGGGAGAAGTTTCTGTGAAGGAACCTCAGAGCCAAGCCATGCTTCAAATATAGAAATGGCAACAAAGCAGCTTGAAAGAGATGGAGCAAAAAAGAAATAAAATAGAAGAACATAAAATAAATATTGCCAAGAAGCTCTGATTTCAAGAACCAAGACCTTGCCTTGCAGTGCCGTGCCCAAGGCCGTGGCAGGCCGGTGGGGGCAAACCCTGCGGGCTCCCTCTGCGACTTCCTTGTCATTGATGCTCAGTTTCTGGGCTGTATATACACACCCGTATGGATGTGTAGATGGTAGCAGACAAAGAAACACCAAAATTAAGTGTTCTCGCTCATTTAATTCTCTGGGACTGAAAAACACAGCAGCTCTTTCCTTTCCGCTCATGCCCTGAGCGACCTGAGTGCAAGAAACAAGATCCCAAAGGGGTTTTTCCCACCTTGTGGTGGGCAGGACTCCCAAATTCCCATCCAAGGACACAAACAAATGCCATGAAAAACCTGGAACTGAGCATGCATAACAGAGAAGCCAGAGAGGAGGCTCCGGCCAGCGGCACGGCTTCCCGGGGACCTGCCCCTCCATCCCCAAGCGGCTCCGGGCAGGAGAGATCTCCATCTACCTTTGACTTTAGACATTAGAGTTTGAGAAATAATCGAGTCAAGGAAGCCACTGGCACCCCTGGGATGTGCTGAGTCCTTCCCATAAAGCAGGTTTATGCATGCTGCTGGCTTCAGCTCTGTGCTATCAAATTTTTATTTTTTTAATTTAAAAATGTAGCCAGTTGATTGACTTCTTTCTTTGCAATCCTGCTTGCCTGAAGCGAGGAGCCCTGCTCTCTCCATAGGCACTTACATACAAGTACATTGTTAAAGCACCATTTTCTCTTCTCCAATAGAACTTGTCAGAGCTTGACATTTCTTTTAGAAAAGCCAACTCGTTATTAAAAACGGGGTTTAGGTGTATGCTGTTGAGCAGCAGGATCCAAAACACCACCTATTTTTCTGGTGACTTTAAAAAAAAAACCCACAACAAAACCAAACCCAAGGTATCCCATGGATAAATAATGGTTCTGTCTGGGTTTCCAGTGCCACGTGCAGAGCCCAGACCTCGGTGGTGAAGCTGCGGCACGGCTGGGCAGGGCACCCGGCCAGAGCCTTCCTCCTCCCCACGCTGCTGCCAGCATCCCGGGCTGCTGCTCCAGGTGATGCGCATCCTCCACCAGCCACCGCGCTCGGAGGAGCAGCCTCCTGTTACCCCAACACCCGGCACGAAGCCCTTTTCATCAGGGAAACAGCCACTGCCCAACACATCCCACCAGGAATGTGGCTCAGGTCCCTTCTTCAGGCCGGGGTAGGCTGCTTACAGCGGTCAGGATCTAAACACACGCCTCTTCCCCCTTCCAAATTCAGTGGGGGCAACTCAGTTCCACCCCTGTGTAAATCCAGAATAAACCCGCTGGCTTTACTGAGGCTATTCCACAGTAACTCAGATTTAAATACAGTTCGAATCAGCTCAGCATATGCATGTTTTCAAAGCAGAGCTATAAACTTGCGGGAACAGGCAATTAACATCTAGACACAGAGCCAGAATCCCAGCTGATGGGACTAAGCCTGGACCTGCCAGAGACACACCGTGCCCTGCCACAGATACGGGCAGGCGAGCTCTTCTTTACTCCTGTAAGTTAGTACGTATGTTAAATCCCCAGAGCCTATGTGACTACACACCAACCCTGGCCCAAAGGATGTGTTAAAGCAAAGCAAAAAAAAACTCAACCCAAAGGTGTGCAAGCTCTCCTTGTGAATGGCAAGTGGATTTTTTTAACAAATTAATTGCTTGGACACATGGATGAGCTGAGGGTAATATGGCAGGATGGTTTGTCTGGAGCAGAACCAGCACTGATGCCCAGGGACTGCTGCAATGGTGCTTAGAAATGCAGAAAGGATTAATAACAACAATAAAATACTGTATCATTCAGTTCTTGGTATCACAGGGAAACAGAGCAGAGAGGAAAAAAAAAAATACCTGAAATTTGGGGGTTTAAGACATTTTCATTCCCATATTAAAACGCAAGTGCATTTCTTGTCTGCTACCATCTACGATGCATCAACTGAGCTACGTACCATTCAAGGCAGCGTAGGCTTTTTCCAATGATGTTATCCGTCTAGGGGCTACAGCGCAAGTTAAAAGAAGACAAAAAAAAAAAAAAAAAAAGAGAGAGAAAGAAAAAGAGAGCCATGAGTGCGGCAGCTTGGTTTCTTGGTCACAAACAAAAGCAAAACCCAGGATGACACTGTCCCTAGCAGCTTAAAATTCCTCTGGTCCCGAGGCCCCTTGGCACAGAGATGCTTTCGGTAGCTGAATAACTGCCCGGTGGGCTGGGCTCTCCACCGCGCACCAGCAACCCGTTCTGGGATGTGCTTGAGCCCGTGAGCATCCCCTGAGCTACACCGCGCTCCCGAGCAGCTCCAGGTCCACACCTGCCCAGGGATACGCGACCAAATTGCAGCATTTATGGCACGTGCCAAAGCAGCAGTGATTGTGCTGCGCGGCTGCACCAGCGCCGGAGGAGAGAAAAAAAATATCTGAGGTTAAAGCAGATGAAAAGCAAACAGGGAAATTGTGTCAGTTCTGCAGCAATGGGGGAAAAAGGGATCCCTAAGGAGAGGCTGGCGCTTGCCACCGACTCCAAAGTGATGAATGATATCAAAAAGAAATAAGTTTCCTGGGGAAAAGCAGCAGCGACGGGGCTAGGGCCAGGATTTGCCTGATGGGCAAAGGGAGGAATGAAGCGGCTCATCACGCCGAAGCCGGCAGCCGTGGGGAGAGCCGGCGGGGGGGACGGGGGCTGCTGGTCGTGGCACCAGGGAGGCTCTTGCTGCCAAATTGCAGCACATGGGCACCGGTGAGCTGGAGGGGACAGGGCAGGGAGAGAGCAGGGGTGCGTGTCTGAATTTGCTGAGCAGAGATACATGCAACCTGAAGTAGCTCAAAATATGCATCAAACATTTGAAGCAGGCTCAGGAAAGCAGCCGCTGCAGCACATGGGAGACAAGAGCTCTGCTGATGCCTCCGGCCCGACAGTCTGCGCGGGGAGAGCGCTTCGGTTCAGCGGCAACGAAGGAACAGAAAAACACAGGGTTTTGCACAGGGCAGCTGCAGGCGCTGGCATTTCGGTGCAGGCCACGGCGAGCCAGGGTGCTGAGCCAGACCCCGCACCACTTGGGCTGCAGGTGGACAAATCCTGCCCTAAGCGGCTGCGGCACCGCCGCTCGCTGCCACGCAGCTGGAAAAAAAAGTGATGCTGCCCGTCGCCTGGCCCCCCAAATTGCTGGGTGACACTCTGCCTGTGTGAGCACCCTGCGGGCAGCAACCCACCGTGCAACCTGTTTAGGCAAATATGCAATGCAAAGGGGAATAGATGCAGATGGGTCATTCTGGCGCTGGGAAAGCCAAGCTAGAGCACAAGCCAAGAGGGAACGAGGTCCTGGCATAGGTCCTGTTGCGGAGGAATGCAGGCAGGGGCATGGGCAGGAGCAGGCAGACTGCAGGCAGGCAGGAGTGCGGGCAGGCAGTGAGGAAGAGAAGCATACAGCAGCATCTTTCCAATATGATCCGAAACAGTTTAGGAAGGGCAGCGTGGCATTTCATTTGGTTGGTGGCAACTCAAAGGCATTTGCAGCGTTTCAGGTGAAGATTTCCAGGTGCCGTTATGAAATCATGCTGATTAAGGAAGATAATTAAAATTTCTTGTCCCGGTAACCCACATGTGCTGCTCAGCCTTAACCATGGCATCCCACCAGGATCACAGCCACTGCGCTGCAAGGTACGGAGCACATCCCTGTGTGCCAGACCACAGCCAGGATGCAGTGGCATCCATCTCGCTGTGTGATGAGCACCCTGAAAAAGGGGCGTTTTGGGGATCTCTGAAGGATATGAGGCTGGCAGGGAGTGGGGGGGAGGGAAGAGCAAAGCAAACATGAGGGCTGGGATGAGCTGGGTGATGGTGCTGCCTTCTCATCGGTCAAGGTTGCCACACACAGCGGGTAAAAAGGAAAAGGAGAGAAAGAAAAAGGGGATTGGAATAGCAGAGATGCTTATAAACAGGCTTTGAAGCTCCACAGCTATTCACAGTACCTGCTTAAATTTTCATGTTCAGACTAGAAACACAGACCAGCTGAACACTAAAAAATAGTTCACTCCGGATAACAGGAAGGTGGCTCAGAAGGAAAAATAACCTGGCTGCTCCCACAGGGGTTAAACATCGGGGCTGAGGGGGTGAAAGGGGAGCGGCATGGGCCTTGGAAAGCAACCTGGTGATGGAGCAAGGTGCGCTCGGCTCCCATCACCACCCCACCAAGCACTCTTCTCTTTTCTTTTTTTCTTACTAGGAGTTTCCGATGCGAGGCACATCTCATCAAAGTCTTGGGCAGGATTGTGCTCTTGTGATTAAAAAAAAAATATATATAAAAAGGATGCCTGGATGTGTGGGTTTTTTAATTAAAGAACACTGCCTGCCCTACTTTATTAATTGGAGTATGGGAAATAATCTATCAGGGTGGTAGGGAGTTTGGGGAATAGGACAGATGGAGCTGGTGTACATTTTCAATCAAAGCACATAAAAATTAACATACAGAAAGATTTTTTTTTGTGTGTGTGCTAGATTACTTATGCTTGATTTTTTTTTTTTTTTTTTCCAAAAGGCTCAAATTGAGCCTGTTTTGTATCTCTGTGCCGCAGGAAAGAAGAAAAGAAAGGGTAAGTGCCATGTTTATAGCGCTGGAGCTTCACCCCTGCTCGCTCACTTCTGTTTTAATGCTGAAAGATTATTCAGATTTTAAAAAGGGATTTTGAAGGTCTATTTTGCAGAGCAGAGACCAGCGGTGGGGAGAAAAGAAACTGGAAATCCAAAGGAAAATCTCAGGACACCAGGAGGGTTTTGCTCCTGGGTTGGAGCCCCCAGGGACCCACGGGGGTTAAGTGCTGGCAGAGGCACTGGTGACCTCGGGGCCATCGTCCCACCTTTGAAAGGCTGCAAATCTGTCCTGCAGAAGGGGGTTGCAGCCAGTGACCTCGTCCAGGCACTGGGGAGCACCACTGGCTTTATTTTTCCAAACCGCAGCCTCATTCCCCCGCAAAAAACATCTTCTGCAATCAGCATCCCTGCAGGCACGTACCCCCCAGCTGCCCCTGCACCGCACCTCACCCCCCTGCACTGTGACCCATTAGGGGCAAGATACCATCTCGACAGAGAAATTACAGATTAGCTTGAGAAAAAAGCGTGCGAGGAGTTCAGATTATATTGAAATCCTTGTATCTGGTTCTGTCGCACTTAAAAAATGGGTGTCCCCAAAAGAGGTAAGGAGGCTGATCCTCCGCAGTCCTGCAGTTATCTGGGATGCTCTTTGCGATGCAGGAGGTGCATAACTTGTTTAAAGCAAATTATACCCTGCAATTTAACCTAAAGGTAACTAAAATCATCCCAAAGTGATTTTTTTTTTTTGTAAAGAAGTCCCTTTCCCTTAAAATGTCTAATTTTCATGTAATTTTTGCCCAAAACGATCCACAAAAACTGTAACTTCTCTTATATTTATACAGTCATGTCCTGGGCTTTCCAGCTTTTAGACACTTTTGCAATGCCATCCTGCTTGGGAGTAACTATTGTTTTCATTTTAATGCTCCTCTGTGAAATAAAAGTGATTTTAACTGATTTTAACACCAAGCATGCACTTCTGCTGCTGCTCTTCATTTTACGTGGCAGGACTTTACTACATGAGATTGAGGTAAAAAGAACACTCTTAAATTTAATTTTGTAATGATCTGTGGCTGGTTGGAAATCATTAATTTTGTTGAGACAGATGAAAAGCAATCAAAGCCAAGGCAGTGAATGCATCACTGTCTTGCTACCATCTACTTTGGTGTAATGGGGTGAAAAAGCAGACAAGAGGTTAATTGCTGTCAATAGGGATTTTGGGGGGCGCAAAATACAAACAGCTTTTTTTCTGGAAGAAATATTCTGATGGTAGTCTGACTACTAGAAAATAATTGTAAGTCCTGGAATTGTCTCCAAAGATTTAGTAAATACATGAAATAGTCTATAACAAATTGAGATGTCAAGAAAGAAAAAACCTTCACCTGCAACTGCTCTTATTTAAAAAACGTGTGGGAGGAGAGGGTGTGAAGCCTTGAGCCCAGCAGGGATGCTGCAACCTTCTCCCAGGCCTGCTCAGGTACAACAATATACAGGATAATATATGTCTTTGGGGTTTGTGCTAGCATGGGCCAGCCTGTTGTGGGAGCATTCAGCTGGAGAAGGAGGAAAAAAAATGTTGTGCCTCAAAAAGAAAATCAATTTCCTCTACATCTCTATTTATCAGGCTGCGTTCTGCAGCCAGCTGGCAGGTTGAAGTATTTGCCTTCTGATGTGCTCCTTTGTTAATGGTGTGATTTGTGTCAGATCAGCGTCTCTTAACGTAATTATACCGATTACAGCGGAGGAACGGGAAGACAAGATGCGGCTGGAGGAGCGGATACATCCTCGGCTCACCCCGGCGTTATGGCCATGTAATTCCATGGAAAACCAGAGTTCTGCAAAACTTGCATTACACCAAGGGCTCATTTAAAGTCTGGCTGATGCAAACCAGCATCTTGCTGCTTAGGACCGAAAGACAGGATGTCTAAGGCCAAGGTCTGCAAAGGTCTTGGGGACCTCCCCATCGTCTTGGCTGGGCCATACACAGGGAGGAGAGGGCTGACACATGGAGCGTGCCCTGGACTGAATTTCTCAGACAGCTCGCCTTTTGTTAGAGCCCTTTTGGGTGTCTAACACCTTTTTGCTGTTCCCAATAAGGGCATATAAATGTTTTCCTCTCTGTCATATTTGTCTTCCCTAAATTGCGCCATCCCCATGGAGCCTGGCCAAGGAAATGGGAAGCCATCAGTAAAGATGACAACGTTTTTTGCACCCATCTGTGTTCTTCCAACAGTTGTAATTACAGACATTTAAAACCAAGACAGATCTTTGCCCATGTTTCTGATAGCAGCTCTCTTTTCTGGGCAGCCTAGAAGCAAGAGACAGAGCTACCGCAGCGATGCACGGGAAAGGATGTGCCTCTGGGATGGTAATTTCTGCATCCAGGTACAGAAGGCACCCTGGACACCCTGTCCTCCCCTCTCCCACGTCTCCCCCAGTCTACCCACACACAGGATGCCCACAAGCCAGAGAAGGCTTTCACTGCCATGCTGCTGCAGCCCAATGCAGACCCTGTGGTTAATCACCCCCCTCCCACGACCCTCCCTCACCACTGAACCTGCCAGCTCATTGCGACACTTACTTATTTTAAGAAAATGCTTAAGAAAGCGTGTGCTTTCTTAAATAGAGAACACAGCTCCCTGCCCTAGATTAGCTCTTGAAAAATGCTGTCATTTCAAGGCAACAGCAGCAGTACCGATGGGTGATGCTGAGGCCAGCTGTCTCAATCAGGGGAACTTCAGCAAATACACCAAACAACACAAAGCTGAAGTGGGAAGCCCAGGAAAGTGAGATCGGGGCAACTTTTCTTCAGCTGCTAAAATTACTGCTCGCCATCCGCAGCTTACAAATCCCTGACCACCACTAAACACTTGGCCAATGCATTGCTTAGGCAAAAAAGGCATCATCTCTTACCGGGTTTCGGGATGAGTCCTTGAAAAGGCCTGTGAGAAACAAGGAAAAAAGGAGATTTGAAATGAAACACCACTGGAAAGTCAACACGCCTGGACCGAGCACCCTCCCACAGCCCAGGGTTAGGGATCTGCCTGTCCTTCACACGCTGTGCCAACGCTTGTGCGGGACCGGCCGGAGCTCTGTGGGGACGGGGTCCTTGCAGTGCTGCTTGGGGCTGCCAGTGCCCCCTTGGTAAGAAGGCTGGCAGCGTGACCCAGCGAGGGGGTGATGGAGCCACTCTTAAAACCATTTTTTTTTCTCTGTCTCACCTTATAGTGATGCACTGAGAAAGCTTTTCCCCTCCCACTTGTGTCTATCCTCTTCATCTGCAAAACCCGCAGGACCCTGCCACGAACGGCCAGTGCCTGGCGCCAATCCAAGTGCTGTGGGACCCTGAGCGCTGCCTTGCACCGGCAATAAACCAAGCAATGTTTCTCCTATCTCAAGCCTCCTAGAAAAGCGGCTGGGATTTCTCTGCCTGTGCATCCATCGCATCAGTTTCTCCTGCCAGTGCCTTCCCCACCGCCTCCCCAGGCAGGGGACAGGATGAAAGAGCAGAAGTGTCTATTTTATGGTTCCCTCCTTTCTGTTGAACCGTTAGCTGCCAACTTAATTGCTGTCTTGGGGGCTGGGGGGGATTTATGGTATTTACAGCCCTGCCCCAGTTGGGCTGGAAGAGCTGGAGGTGCATTTAGGTCGGCTCCCTCCTCTCCCCCTCCTGCTTAGGGGGTGGCTGGCACCTCTCACCACATACCTCGTCACGGTGAACTTGATTTTATCGGCGACGGCCAATATCCTCTCCAGGTTCTGTGAGCCGAAGGTGCAAGGCTTCCTGAAGGGGATCCCAGGGGGCAGCCCCTCTATAATCACCGACCCTGGATTGCTCTTGATCCGCTTGTATGGCACTTGCACGGGGTATTTAATCCCCAAGGCCTCACCTGGGGAAGGAGCGAGTGGTAAGCGAGCAGTAAGTGCATGGGATGCCAGGGATGTCATTTCTACTGCGGCTCTGGCTCCATCCCCGGCCCCGCCAAAGCACGGCACGGCACGAGCAGGCTGCTCAAGGCACCACGTCAAGTGTTTGATCAAGGAGCAACATGTCCAGGCTGCCTCTACGATGGGAGCGAAGAGGTCCAAAGGCAGCCATGTGCGTGCAGCAGAACTGGTGGGGCCAAGGACAGGCACCGTCCTGTACGATGATGCCCCTGCAGTGCAGTGGGAGGGATGGAAAGCCGCTGCTCTTTGCTCTGGGCCATGATTTGGAGATAACTCCATAAGCACGTTCCCTCTCTCAGGTCCAGCTGCAGGACTGAGGCTACCCATTTCCTTGCAGGTAATTGCTCTTGCAGGTACCTGGGAGTCTGCACAAGTCTTGCCCCTGCCTGGAAAACTGGGATAACAGCATTTCCCTGCCTTGCTTGCTAAAGAGCAGAGGCTGGGGCAGGCAGGCTGTGGGAATGGGCTGCAGAGCCTGGGTAGGAGGCCCTGGGGACGGGACGCCACCTACTCGTCCCCTCAATGCTCCTGAGAGTGCTCACTATGGCCCTTCTTCATTCCCTCCCCAACTCCCACCACCCCCCACACTCCCACAGCTCTGCAATCCTCCGCTAATGAATTTATCATCATTGTTCTTCACGGAGGCGAGGGGTTAAAAGAAAAAAAAAACAAAACATGAAAAGGTGGCTGGGAAGGGCAGGCAGTGGGAAGGGCTGTGATACGCTCCTCGTCACGGGCTTCCCCGTCCTGCGTGGGAGCTGCCTAGGCAGCGAGTGCCTGCAGCAAAGAGCACGGATTGCCAGAGCCACTGCTCCCTGCCCGGCCCGCCAAGGTACCACCGCTCGCGGGGCGAGAGAAAACACTGGCAAGGAGGAATCAGGAGGAGAGGGGAGGGATAGGGAGCGAAAAATTAGGAGGGGACAAGGGGGAATAAAACCAGCTCCCCGCCTGGTTTCTCACCGTATTTCTTATTGAACAGGTCCTGGACTTGTTCCCGCAGCGTGTTAGCAATGTCTATTCTGGAAAGTCTGGCATCATAATTTTCTGTAAAATAAAGAAACAATTATGGACTTCTGCTGGTAAATTAAAAGGCACTCTGTGACTTTTAAGTAATGCCATTTTCTAATTATAGGAAAGTCCTTATCTTGCAATTAGCTAATCTCTGGAGTGGGCCATTCAAAGTCCTTAAAAATAATCTAAACAGAAATATGTTTTTTTTTCCCCTGCCTGTTTGCTAAGAATAAAAGCCATATGAAATCGAAGATTCAGTTGCGATAATTACCGGCATTAAAATAAAACGCACTCCAAAGCCTCTCTGAAAAGCCAAAGCCTTTGAAAAGCCTCCGTCCCTCTCTGCAAACCCTCGCAGGCCCCCATGGCCCAAGGAAAAGGGATGCTCGAGCAGGGCAGCACCTGCACCCCCAGCCCATGGGCTTCTCACCCATCGCTCCTTCCCCCAGGAGTCACCACACCGGCTGCCAACGCGCGCCCGACTGGAGCGGTGTTTGTACAAACATCATCCAGGTGGAAAAAGCCCCAGAAAAGGCAAACCCTGAGGCTTGGACGACTTAATTATGCATCTCACAAGGTCAGATGGCCAGATAAGCGAAGCTGGTTAATTAGGGCACCATCCAGAGCATTTTGAGCCTCTTCCTTGGACCTACGGGACTGCTGCCCTGGCTGCAGGTCTTGTCTTCTGGTTGCCTGTCCTTCCCACCTCCTCCTCTCCTCCCTCCCATCCTTGCCGTGCCCTGCTCCTCTGCCACCCCACTGAGCCCGGACACCCCACAGGTGCTCCCTTCCCACGTCTGCTCTACGCAGCCTCTGCAAGGGGCTGGGATCTGCCTCGCCCCCCCACCCATCCCCATATGCCTCCAGGCCCTCACCTTGGAAGCCCTGTCTCTTCACAGCGTCCTCCAGCAGCGCCTCGCTCGAGTCCCTCTCGCCGGTGGCTGAGACAGGGGACATAAGAGGAATTAGGATTCGCGGTGCTGCCAAGGGGAATGCACAGGAGGGGGTTTCCAGCCAAAAAACGAGGTGGGGAGGGAAGGCAAGAGGCGCGCTGTAGGAAAACGCTCTCACTCCTCTCCTACCTAGTCCTTAACGGCCCGGCTGCCGGGCGTCTCGCAGCCTACCTTTGGCTGCCGGGCTGTCCGACGCCGGCTCCTTTACACCCTCTGCCAGCAGCTCTGGTCTGAAAAACAGCGAGAAGCAGAGGGCACACACGTGAGCTCCCCGGCCAGCGACAGCCCGCTGCTCCAGCATCCCCTCAGACAATACTCCTACAAGTCACTAACCGTGTCTGGCTAACACAATTTTAAAGCTCCTGCAATGCAGCGGGGAAACTATGGAAGTAATTTTCATGCTGACAGACTCTTTAGTGAGCCAAAGTGACACTCCCCAGGATGAGATTAAGCTGGTGATGGCTGAGCAGCTTAAATCATCAGTTACAGACTTCTGGGAAACACGGTCCTGCATGTTTCTTGGGGATGGGAGAAGCTGTGCACGCCTCCTTTCAATACACAGTAGCCTCCAAAAATTGTCACTTGGGTTTCTAATGCTAAAACCACACAGCAAGGTGATAGCAGGGCTCGTTATGAGCCACAGTGAAGCTGTGTCAGAGAAATGAGTCTGGGATGGGGACAGGAGAAACCCCAAAGTGTGAACAGGCTGGCCTGGGAGCTGCTGGTCTGACATCACAAACTCTCTGTGCTCCCAATGTTTATTTTCTGTTTCAGCTGCCCGATGCATTGGTTGCGTCAGCACTCTCCTCTGCAAGGGAGGCTGAGTCAGCATTTGGGTGAACAACCCCCCCAAAATACCTAAAGACATTTTAAAATCCATCTCTGCTGGATCTGTTGCCTTTTTCAAGGTGATGCTGTTGTGTTACGTTGGTCATGGCATCTCACAGTGTGCCCAGCTCCTGTGACACCCCCTGCTCCCCAGCGCAAAGACAGCATCTCCCCTGATGCCTGCAGCATCCCACTGAGGCACAGGTGTGCACATCTGGACCTCAGCTGGAACCACTTCCCATGGGAAAACCCTCCAGTGCTCCCAGCCTCTCTTTCTGCCCCACGCCTGGGCACCCTGAAGGTTAAAGGCTCTGGCTCCTTCGCCCATCTTTGGGTGCTCATTGCTGATGTGGCCAAACCTTTGCAAAAGTGGGTTAAAACCCCAAAAGACATCGAGGGAGAGATGACACCACCACCCTGCCTCTCAGGGATAGCTCCAGCAAGGCAGAAACCCTTGGCTGCTTCTAACTGAGCAAATTTATTGAAGGTGACCAAGTGATGGATGTTCCCCAGGACACTGCACAACAGTCAGAGCTCCGAGCAGGAACATCCTCTGCAAGGGACGGCCTCTCCACATGCCTTACCTTTTAATGACAAACTGGATGTTGTTGCTCGCTTGCAGGATCTTCTTCAGCTTGGCAATCCCGAAGCAGTTGGGGCGGCGCAGCAGGATGCCCTCTGGCAAGCCCACAACAAACAGGTCCTCGGGGTACATCAGGAACTTGGAGTAGGGAACTTTGACCGGTTCTGATATTCCTATGGCTTTCGCTGCGTGGGGACCAAATCTCATTAGTTTGCTGGACCTCCACGTCGGGTCAAAGCAGCAGCGACACGATATGTTAGCAGAGGGGTTGAGGAGGATTTTGGAGAGTTTGTTGTCACTCTGTGCCTGGTGGGGTTGTCCCTGACACTGTCGGACATGAGATGAGGGATAGAGCTAGGCCACCACCCGGAGCTGGCTGCTGCATTTGCTGCGTTAACACAGCCTGCCTTTCAGTGGCACAATTCAAAGAGGCTTCTTATAAAGGTTGCAAGCACGTCTCCACAAGGCAATGGGACCCCTCATCCAGACCTCCCTGGACATCCCTCTGCTAGATGAGGGGACAGGGAACGTGCCAGGGGGTGCCCTGCCAGCCTGTGCAGCCTGCCACAGCCAGGGCTCTCCTTGCCCTGCTAAATATTGCCAAAAAGCAACCAAACAGCCAGTGTCAAGCAGTACTGTTTAGCCAGAGGTTAAAAAAAAACAAGACAAAATCCCACGAGTGTGGGCAAGGATTCCCAGTCAGTTACCAAAGTGTGGGGTACATCGAGGGCCATTGCTCTGCCCTCCATTCCAGCTGCATCCCAGCACCCAACCCTGCCCAAGAGCATCCCAGCCCTCCTCCTTGCCCTTGGTCACGGTGGGCTCTCCCAGCCCAGGGCCTGCAGCTCAACTCTGCCCCTGGCTTTTGGGGACCACCAGGCAGAACCACATCTCCTGGTCCTGCCAGTGGCAAAAACTTTCTGCCAGCTTTCGAAATGTACGTTTGACCTCACTTGTATTTTTTTCTGGGTTAAAGAACCTTTTTCAAAAGGGGTGAGCAGAGCATGCCGAGTACCAGCCCCCGGCGCTGGGGTCCCACCAGCCTTCCTGAGTCACACCATGACCACTTGGTGTGGAAAACCCTCTCTGATATTTCAAAGAAGTGATGAGGGGAACCACTTTGGTCCTTCCCTCCACAGGAAGAAGGCTGAAGGTCACAGAGGCAATTCTTGGGCTGCAGCCAGTGAAAAGGCATCAAGGAAATCAAGGGGAAGAGCTGCAATAACAAGGCCCGGGGAGATTTCAGATGCATTTGTAAGCCCAGCAGATAGCAAATGAACAAATTAGATTGCACCTTTACTCAGCTGCTGGTTTGGAAATGGTAGGTGACATTTCTGAGCAATTAGAAGCTCCCCACGGCAGAGGCTGGTACTCGGCATGATGAACATGTGCTAATGACCATCTTACCATATCTCGTGTTGAACAAAATTTCAACTTGTTTCCTCAAATGACTTAAAACGTCCCCTATACCATCTGCAAAAAAAAAAAAGAAAAAAAAAAAAAAGAGAAAAAAGGATAAATGCTCTGAGAAACCAGCTGCCTCCAGAGCAAGCAACACACAGTGCGGATGAGCAGCCCCTGACCTCCGGCAGAGCCAGCTGTGTGCTCTTCACGCCTCCCACATCAGTGCCAGTCCTCCGGCAGCTGCCTCCAAGCTCATCCCCAAGCAAGGAAGGGCAGCGAAGCACCTGCCACAGAGCTGTGCTACCAGCAAGGAGGGAAAAAAATAGGGGAAAAAAATAAATCTGGGCAAGAGAGGGGAGGACAGGGCCTGCAAACATGGCGGTGCACCTCTGTGCTGAGCTTTTCAGAGGCTGAACGCTTTGCTGATGATGTAGGAAGCCCACAAAACCCAACCCAAAATACACCTGTGTTCATCCATCCTTCCAAAAACTTGCAATGATGGGCGATGCTCGTAGTTCTTTGTACACTCACCTGATCCCTCCATCTGCTTTTCTTCATGTCGTGACTCCTCGCTGGGCCCCTTCTCCGTCCCTGCCAAGGAAGAGGAGGGTTAGCAGTGGCCAGCACCAACAAAACCGGAACAGACATGAGCAGGAAGGAGTTCTCTGGGTCCCCTGCGGTCACCCAACTGCCCCCTCACCTCACTAAGCTCAGGGCTGGCAGCATCATGCCAGGAGCTGCATTAAGTGGAATAAACCCATCGCCTACATCCAAGAGGTCTGCTCACCCTTTGGCGTGGGCTTCCTGGGAGAGGCGAGACCCAGCACTCAGCAAAAGCGAGGGCAGCCACAGTGCTGGCACAAATCCCCCAGGCAAATCCCAGTCATGAGCCAGGCAGAGGAGCTGGGCTTTGCAGCACACTGGGGCTGGGAAGGAGCTGCAGTGCCAGAAAAGCAACCAGTTTGTCTATCAGGGCTCCCAGTGGAGCCTGACTGAGGCCACGACTCTGGAAATGGGTCCTGACTCCATCACCTTGGCTCACAAATGGCATTTACTCATTTCTGACACACACACAAAGTCCCGTGCCCCCGTGCAGTTGTCTGGATGCTTCATTTCTGGTACCTGCTACCGTTTCTAGGATGTAGTTTGACTCCTCCGAGGCCATGTGCGTGGGCACCGGGTCGTGCATCTCATCTGAACCAGGCGATCGGTCTGTGGACAAAACCCCACAGGCAGCTTTTGTTTCGATGCTGGGGGGCACTGTCCCCAAAACAGGGTTCAGGAAGTGCTGGCTCACAGCAAGAACTGAGCGAAGGGCCCCCTGGTCCTGGGAGCCCCGCACACCTCAGCCGGGAGCTGCTTGGGGAATGCATCTGCCCTCTTCCTCCCCGGGCCCACCCGGAACTCGTCCCTGAAACACACCCGACCTCTCAACCAGAGGGAAAGGAGCAAATGTTTCTTCCTCACCTCCAAGGAAGGTGAAGAGCAAAAATAGTCCAAAACGATTTACTTGGTTTAATTCCATCTAGACACTCAATTTTGGCTTAAAAAGTTAATGCCGCTTGACTTAGCTACTCCACCGTGGGAAAACCATTCCACTAATGCAGCCTTCCTCCACAAAATGACACTTCCTTGGGTTTCCCTTATGTAATCTGTATGCCCTCTTCATTTTAACCTGTCTCCTCTAGTGCTGGGCTCTCCAAAACCCTAAAAGAGCTATCCAAATTTAGCTTTAAATAAACCTTCAGCTAGTTTAAACACTTCAATCAGGTCACTTCTTAATCATCACCTTGCAGGATAAATAATCCACATTTCATCAATTTCTCCCTGTAAGTGAGCACTTCTTTTCTATTAATCCTCCTCCCTGACCTCACTGCACTTCCTCTGATTGAACTCAATTTTCAAGTAAGGTAAGAAAAGGTGGGCTCTGGACTTGATGTGTGATCTACCCGACACCGGAGAAGTGATAACACCTTCTCCTCCTCCTCCTCACACTCACCGCCAGCTCGCCACGTATTAGCTTTCTTCTCTTTCATTAGCTGCCAAGTTGAAAATTAAAATGTTTGATCTACCACTATATCTTGTTCCTTCTCCTTCCCCTATATTATCCATACGTTAAGTCCATTCTAAGAAAATCCTGGAATGAATTCCCAACTACCACTGTATTAAGGGGACTGCCACAATTTGGGTGCAACAGAGATAGCACTGGTGTGGCAGGGCTGGGTGTCACTGCTGTCCCCAGCATTGCTCGCCCTCGGGCACGTTGGGAGTCCTGTTGCTGCCCTCATTCTGGTGAGATTATTAATTAATGTTTGTAAAGCACACTGAAAATGCAAAGTGCTAACTATCCACTCATTAAACTCTTAAGATCATCCTACCATTTGCCGCACTGTCCAGGTCAGTTAAGTGGAAAATGACTCTCCCAGCTGCCCCTCAAGCACTTAACCACCCATCTCCATCACTACCCATTGCCACTGATCTCTCCGGGCAGAAATGTGGGGAAATGCATCAGTGCCACCAATTCCAACATGTTTTCAGACCATGCTTAATGTTACATCTGTTCTTACAAACTCTTCACAACCAGGCTGTTTTCCTAAATTAAGGACCTCATCAGAAGCATCCTGTGCTCAGTACCTGGGATCCTCCAAGCCCACATGTGAAGGAAAGCAGCAAACCAGGCTTGCTTTCTCCAGGGGAAAGGCAAGATAGAAAAGCAATGAAGGAGAGAGAGAAAGAGTGAAGAGCCCTAAAACACCCTCCACTGCCCCCAGGAAACCAGCTCATTCTCCATATGTCCGTTAAAATGACTTTCAGGGTAGGAAGAGCAGTGCATGGGCACGGGGAGAACTGTGCTGGGAGATACCCTGCAAACACATCTCAAAGCAAAATGCCGAGACATGATGCCGCAGCCCTGCCTGTGCAGAGGCCACTGCACACAGCCGGTACCCCAGCACCTACCTGGCACAGTGATCTGGATGATGTCCAGCTCGTCCGGCTCGATTTTGATCTGCCTGATCCCACCCAGCTCTCCTGAGGTACCTACCAGGAAACGGCAGCAAAAGACAAATCACCAACAGGAACCAGCAATGCTGCATCTGCCCACCAGCGCAGGCAGGGAAACTGTGGCTGGCCATGACCCCAGTGCCAGCTGTGTGTCCTGCAGCAGCAAGGCTTTGGCCAAGTGGCCCAGTGGCATCAAGCCCACAGAAGGGAGGTACCCGAAAGGCACCCGTGGGCATGACCTCTGCAAACAGCTCAGCTGGCAGGAGCTGTTGGTGTTCTCGAACCGGCCGCTGGCCCTTGCTCACATGCTCACTTCCCGGCTTTCTTCACTTAAAACAAACCGGGTCACCAACTAATGTTAGTGGGGATGCAGGAGGTGCTGTCTGGCATTTTGGATGCTTCCAAACTCATGCCTGGGACATGCCCCTCTGCAGACCTGTGCTCTGGGAGGGGCAGCTGCAGCCGCATCACACCAGGATGTGACCAATTGAACCCTGACAAAATTCAGTGTGATTTGAACCCCGAGGGATGGGAGCCTGCGCTGGACCAGCCGGCACGCAGAGGCTGCTGCCCCAGGAGGATGATGCACACAGTGTTCAGCCCAGTTGCCTCATCTCCAGAAAAAATTTCCTCACTTAGTGTGGGACTGATTCACTGCAAGGGGCTGAGGCACAGCTTGCAGCGTGGGTGGGCAGAGAGGCTCGGTGTGGCTTTTCAATGGTTTCAAGCCCCTAAAACTGGGGAAAAGCATTTCCTTCTCATTTGTGTTGCTCAGAACGCTGACACCACTGACTTCTCAGTGATTCAATCGTGGTGGCTTTCGGGAAGAAGGGAACTCAGAGACTGAAGACTTCCCTTAGCTTCACATTTAAGCACATGCTTAAGTCTTGTTGTTTCAATTTATGCACTTTTGGGACCCAGCTGGACGGTCACAGGGTAAGACCCTTCATCTCTACATCTATCAAACAGAAACAAAGTGCTTAGAGCACTGCACTGTGGGGCAACTGCAGTGTAGCAACAACTGGTGCTACACGTCCAAATTACTTTGCAGACAGCTTCCTCTGGTGCTCCCCCCAATATCACTATTTTGCAAGAGAAAATTAATTATTCCTTACCTGGTTCACAGCTTTCAGAAACACTACACTTCTCAGACCTGGAAGGGAAAGGCAGACAAGAGAGGTGGTCAGGAGCAACCAAAGAGAGAGCTTAAAACCCAGTGGTGTGCGTAGGACTGATCCTGGTAGGAGGGAGGAACACTGCAGCCCCCTGTGATGCCAGGCAAGGGCTGCGGAGGGGTCCCTGGGGACACTGCACTCGCGGTCCCAGCAGTGGCATGGCATCGTGGCTGCCAGGGAAAGCCACAGTCTCTGCAAATAAGCCCTGCTGCCAAACCCTCCCCGGTCCTGCACCAGCACCGATCGCAGCCCTGGCTCCAGACACCAATGGATGTAACTGCGGCAGAGAGCTCCTGAAAGCAAGAGGGGTTTTTAAGCCTGAAACCTGGTTCACTCCATTACTGTGCGGCAGAAAGCAGTGCATAAGGCATCATTACAATGTGGTTACTCATGGAGCTAGAGCAAATAGGGAGAAAGGAAAAAAGTCAATTGATTTGGTAAATATTTATTCTGCTCAAAGCTTTTCTCCCCTGAAAACTGGGCGCTATCCCAAACTTGTGTCTACAGTTAACTTTGCATGCTCAGGAATTTACGCAAGGTGTTCAGCATCCAAATGAGATTACGTTGCTTTCTCAGAACGTGTTTACTTTGTCTCTCTCTCAAACAAGAACAACCGCGGCTCTTTGGCAGTAAGGGACCCAAGGAACAGCACTGGCAAACGCACTCCTCCATGACGCTGATCCTTCCAGGGGAAGGAAAACCCTTCAGAGCCAGCACCACATCCCTGTTGGCTCAGGGGGGATGTTCAAAAGCACTTCTTGCTCACCTAAATCCACTCAGCAGCATCAGCAGAACAAACTACAGGCAGCACGAAGGAAGCCAGAAGTGCTCTTGAAATGTTCTTCCAAAATGTGGCATGGGTAAAAAGGATCTCTGGTCTAGCAAGTACTGTATATATTACCTAGAAGCCTTGGGAAGGGTTTTAAACTCTTCCATTTCAGATCAAAGTCAACCTTTCACTAGGGAAATTTGGGAGGAGGGCTTCCATGGGCAGTGCATTACCCCTTGCAGTGCCTGGCCCTCCTCCCCGGGGTATCTGGCACTGCCTCTTCCCCGGAACTGGACTCTGACCTGGGTGGATCACTGCTATGGAAATGCTCTGCTCCTACTAGGGAACAGAGGTTCCTCATTTGCAGGAAGAGGAAAGCGGGATTGGAATATCCACCTATATTTTCCTGCAGATAGGAATTATCAATGCATTGGGAGACTTGGGGGGGTGGGGTGGTTGGGTGTCCCCCTGCAGCAGGCAAAGCAAGCTGCGCACCAGCACTGCAATTCAGATCCCCTTTGTAACCAGGGGTGCACGTGAACTGCGGGGTCCGTGGCCCGATCCAACCCGCACGCGCACAGCGTGAATCAGGAACAAGGCCTATATACACACAACTAGGATAAATTCGAAAGGGAACCCAGGGTGATCTTCAGGTTGTGCAGGTTTACACCAGTGGAAGGTGGACAGCCCAGCCCAGCTCAGTCCACATCACAGCACCACCACGGGAAGGGCGATCCAAATCTGGCTGGGTACAAATCACACCTAAAACCCCTATTTTTCCCCCCATATGGTCTTCTAAAGTGGTTTTCCTGCTCTGTGCAGCCCCTACCTGACCCACGGCTGGAGTGCAGCAGGTGAGATGGGGACGGTGCAGCCTCAGCGAGGGCTGTACAGGAACCACGAGCCTCTGGCTGCCCTCGGAGCTCTGCAGTGGCAAACCTCAGCTCCCACAGGCATGCAGCGGCTGGTTATCTACCTACTGCTTTGCAGAAACCAGCTTGGCATCCCTAATATCCCATCCTTCCACCTTCTTGTTTCCAGTCACACCAATTTAACTGCACAGTGGGATCTTCTGTTGCAAAAATTAAAAGTGCCCTAATTGCAAATGTTAACAAATGAATGGGAAAACGAGAAGCCTCAGGCCAGGTTTCAGCCCCGCAGTGTTTGAAGTATCGCTGTTTCCCCTAGCATCCAGTGTGCAGTGGTTGCTCTGCTGCTCCCTGAGATTAAATGCCTCCAGACACGGAGCGATTCAGCAAGGTGCAGAGAGCAAAAAAAACGGCTGAAGAATGGGTCTGTGGCTAAGCCCTAGTTGAGGATCCTGGAGATTTGAGTTTAATTCCCCGTAACACCAGTGAAGCACCTCAGGCTGGGACCCAGCCCAGCTGAGTTCCCATTGCAGATGTCTCCAGCCAAGGCTCTCATCTGGAGTCCCTTCATCGGGAATAGAAACAGGCACACGCAGGGTGTGATTCCTCCAACCCATTTTAAATGGTTGGAAAGGGCTGACTCACCCGGTGCACTGAGTTTGCTGCTGCTGAAAGGTTCCAGAGTGACTCAGCCAGTCCCACACCGGCACAGACACCCAAAGGCCATGGCCACCAGCCTCCCTCTGGCAGCGTGGGTGAGCGGCCGTGCTGCCACACGTGCCAAATGCACAGCAGTTGGGGGTGCTGTCCTTTTGGGGTGACACCAGCATGCTGAACACTGACCATTTCAACCCATGTATAATATCAATGCACAGAGCAAACCAACATCGACCACAGAGACCGGGTCCAGGCAAGCCAACCCAACCACCCGCTCATCTTAACCCCTTTCCCATGCCCGTGGTTGGCTCTGTCTTGCATCAGAGCTCCAGCACGGCACAGCTCGTATTGCACTCGCAGCCAATGGTACGAGGAAGTGGGGCCGACTTCTGCAAAGTGCAGGAAACGTCACTGTGACATAGCATGGGGCACGAGTGACACCCATGGGTGCTCCTGGCACCCTGTCCCCGGTGGAGGAGAGAACAAGACGAATTTGGCTTGTTCTATTTAGCAAAATGAAGCCCGGGAGGGGACACAGTGGTGTCCCACACCAGTGGGGCAGCAAGGTTGTGCAAGAGCCACCCCAACCCTGTGGGGTAAAACCACCCCCAAACCCTCCTTTGAAGCTGGAGATACGCAGAGGGATGGGTGATGACTGCCAGCCCTGTGGACTGGGCAGCTCGAGAGGTCTCTGCCCTCTGAAGCTGTGAGATTCCAGTGCTCGGTGCACCTCTGGACTCACTCACTGCCTGACCTAACACTGCTGATGGGGCAGGTTCACCCCCCCAGAGCGAGCATGGCTTCAGGGGCATGTGGTAGCCATATCCAAGGGGACAAACCTGAAACAGCACTGGGGAGAACCAGAACGAAACTCCAACCAGTTACGAATTCACATCAGCCATGAGGGAGGGGAACCCAAGAGGTGCCATGGAGGAGACAGGCAAGTTACCTCATCTCCCCATCCTAGCCTGAAGAAGGTATCGACCTGTAGTGCAGTCCGCAGCCCCGGCCGGTGGAGGGGTCGGCACCGGGCGGCGAGACTTGGAGCTGGAGAGGCTGAGGAGCACTTGCTCCTACAGCCCTGCTCCTGAGCCCCCCTGCAGCCAGTGGCCTCCAGCACGGGTGTGTGGGCAGACATCCCAGCAAAGTTCATTTTGCTGCTTCTAAACCCATCCATGAGCGAGCGGGGCAAGGCTGGGAAAGGGCTCCCTTCCCTGCAGCACAGCCTCACCCATGAGCACCAGTTATACTGCTATGAACTGCTGCCCTGCTTCTCTTGTTTAAAGGGATTTTAAAGGTAAATGTTGGGGCTAAATCTACCTTGCTTCTGACCAGCTGAAGCAAAAATGAAGGAAACAGTCTACACAGAGGAAAATACCTTCTGGATCTCCCAGCATGGGTTGGAAAGCAGCACTATACACTCCATAGGCCCTGCCAGCATGTTACAGGCGAGTCTAGCTCGTGGCATATTTGTACCAGAAACAGGTACTCATAAAAAGCCTCCTGCCCTGCTGAACTCTATAACCCCACCTTTATTAAAACATCTGTTAATCCGCTATTAGTCTCCCTGTGAGCTTTATAAACAAGTAACGCTTAATTAGCAGGATGTTGTGTTACAGTGCCAGCTGAGGGTGAATCCTTAGGCCATGCTTTAACACAGGAGATCCTGCAGATAATCCCAGCCTGCCCAGACACGGCCCCGATTTCACCAGTTTTGTACAAAATCAGTGATTCCAAACATTGCTATTCTGGCTTGCAAAAGGATGAGGGTGCTCAGTCTCCTCCTGTGCTGGCTAGCTGTACCATCACAGTGGGTTTTTAGGGAGGCAGGAAAGCAACGCCCTTACAGCAGCACAGCAATAACCTGCTGGGCATGTTAACACCCCCAAAATAACTCTCCGAGGGATGTCACTTTGCGGTGGCCAGGAAACAGAAGTGCCACTTACCTGCTGTTGGCCTGAGAGGTCCCTGCCAGATCCAGCACGGCCCCGCGGTGCGGCTCAGGGGAGATCTCCCCAGGGGGGCTGGAGGGCTCCAGCTTAGTTGGATCTTTGGTAAATTTGCTTCCTGGTGTTGGGTACGCAGGGTGGGTTTGGAAGGAAAAGCAAAACCAGAATTAGCAACCAGAGATGCCAACGATGCAGCTTTTCCACCACCACTTTCCCCCCCTCCAGTGCCAGAGCTAAGGTGGATGGAGGGGAGGTAGAAGACAGGTTATCAAGCGTCACCTGCTTGCAAAGAGAAGAGTACAGATTTAATCAGGTTTACCCATTAAAATATCAGCAAAAGTTTTACTTAAGCCTCTGCATAACCAAGTGTGTGCTGGGAAGCCCTGCCAGGAATGGAACATCTCTGGAAAGGGCTGGCTGCTGGGACAGGGTGCCAAGAGGCAGGGACTGGGGTTGGGAAACCTGGTCATGGCCAGGGCCATGGACCAGTGCTGCAGGAACAAGCCCCAAAGCGGGGAGAGCCCTGTCCCAAGGGAGGGGACAGAGCTCGGCAAAGCCCAGAGCAGCAGTGCCACTGGGAGACCCATCCTGCAGCTCCGAGCCCTGCACACAGCAGGAGAAATCTCTGCTGCAGCAATGCAGAGGGGGACAAAAGCATCCTGTCACCATGAAAAACTTCCTCTCTCCCTTCTGTTCCTCAGCAACCTGAAAGAAGCTGAAACGAAGCCTCAGCAATGACCTTGGAGATGAAAAGAGTGATCTGAAGGCAGGGTAGGAAATGAAAATCAGGCAGGGGAAGTGAGCAAAAAGCTGAAGGATTAGTGCTGGGGGAAGGAGGGGATGAAGTTATGCCACGAGGCTGCAGAAACCATGTAGGTGTCTTGTTAAATAGCTGCTGCCAAAGGCCCTTTGCTGGTCTCAAAGTGCCATCACGACATCCCCACCCTTCCAAAACACATCCCGTTCATGGGAACATGAAGCCTTTTTCCTTTCAGCTCCAGCGTGTAAGGAAGGGCAGGGCTCTGGCAATGGGATGAGCAGCAATATAGAGCCTTAAAGACACTATTTATCTACCAGCAGTCCAAAAGACTCCTTTTAATTTGTGCTTTCTATGGACCAAATCTTGCTCTTGCAGCAGTGAAGCCTGCCTGAAGCTGCTACCCAGGGGAGTAGCAAAAATAGGTTTCCTAGCAGTGGTGGGTATTTTAATTAAAGGGTGAGCAAAACTGTATGGGGAAGCTTTGGGATACTTCGCAGTCGGCAATTTAAAATACAGCTCCACTTGGAAAATAGTGTCTTTGCAAAAATGGCACCTCCTGACTCAGCAAATGCTTTTTTTTTTGCACAGTCAGATGTGCTGACGCGAGTCACAAAAAGCCAGGTTTAATGTGTTTTGCTTCTGGTAGCCCTGCAGGGACCAGACAGGGGAGGGGGAACTGCCATCCGCCCCAGCCCTGCTGGGGTTGCTTCCTCATATCCTAATTTCCACTTGCACCTCCCTGCCATGTAACCCCCGAGCTCGTAGCACAGGGCTTTCCATCACCAGCTCTTGAACCAATGTACAGACAATATGGGATGCATCCCCCCAGATTCTGTACAACCATGATGGATTTGCAAGGAAAATCCAAGCATCCCAAGACAAGGTTTAGTACTCCATCCCTTGGGGATGAGTTAGAGCTTAAAAAAATCATTTTCTTGAGGAAAAAAAAGTCATTAATGGGGCTGGAGACAAAGAAATCCTCCCCATGGAGGTGGGACTCCCTCCAGGCTTTGCTGGAGGTCCCCTTTGGGTGGCTCTGTCATCATTGTCCCCAGGGAGCACCCTTGGGGCTGGGGCTGTCATGGGGCCACAGGAGTTATTTTATCTGGTGGAGATATCTGAGGAGAAGATGGTGTCTGGAAAGCCAGCGTGTGGGGTTGGCAACTTGGGAAAAAAAAAACAAACCAAAACAAAACAACAACCACCCCAAAACATGTCTTTACTTGTGAGCCAAGCCCAGGTGATCCAGGAGCAAGGCTGGGTGGTGATACATTGGGGTGCAGTGCCATAATTCAGGTGGGTATCAGGGCAGTGGGCTGGGGGCAGCTGCTGGAATGAGGGTTGGGTCGGACAGCACCAGTACCTGTCTCCTTTTATTTGCCAAGAAGCACTTAGCCAGGCCTCTCCATCTCAAGGCAAAAAGAGCAAATACATGGAGCAAAAAAAGTCAAAGAAAACCTTTCCCCAGGGTTTTGTCATGGAAAAAAATAGATTTTTGTTGTTTTAAAAACAGTCAGCGGCTGGATGATGCTAGCACTTCCCAGCCAAAAAAAAAAAAAAAAATTTACCAGTGAGGAACCCAGCAGTGATTATTCTTCCTCCTGAAAGCACAGAAATTTGCCATGTGCTGCCTACAAGTCGCAGCTCAGCCCAGTGCAGGGAGCCAGCCCAGCCTCACTCACTGGGGATTTCTTGCTTAAACCTTCAAAACACTATTTAAGGGGTGCAAGGTTCTTGCACTGATCCCAGGCGAAGGCAACCTCAGCATGCCTGGGTGTAGGGCACAGACAAGGCTTCTCCTCACTAAGCATAATTGCACGTGTCCTGCACTTTTGTTGCTTACAGGTGACATTATTTCAACTACGCTTCTCTGGATAATCTTTCAGTTTTGTGGACAATAAAGCAAAGGACATGGAGAACATACCTGTAAAAATTCTCTCATCAAACATCCTAGGAGGAAAGGAAAGAAAAGGGATTAGAAATAGGTGCTTCTAATGACTGAATTTTAGGTTTTATTAATGAATAGCATTAAACCATGTCAAAATAATAATTTTATTAATTCTCTAAAAAGAGGGAATGAACACTTCAGCTAAAAAACCCAACACCTTTTAGCCTGTTGTGCAACCAAGCACTCTTACAGCATATGCTTTTTAACTAATGCACCTTTAAATCTTCTTACAAGTCATTCTCTTAATTTAATTAACTTATTAAATGAGTCTGCTATAGGCTGGCTTTACCATAAGGGGTAGTGGGACTAAAGTAGCTGTTGCTGGACCTTCATTTAATGTCGCAGACCATCAACCAGATGTCACTTATCTCCTGAATTTGGTCTCACCCACAACTTTGCTTATGGGGGCAACGTGTGTTTCAGGGCCATGTCCTGGGGCCTGATCCAGCCTGGCACAGCCCGAGCGGTGTGGGACAAAGTGGCTCCTCCACCAGCTGACATATGTGAAGCTATTTCCTTTTAGGATGCCCAGGTCCTGTTGATGTCAGTGATTTTAGCCCCATTGGGAGCCTTAGCTGGGGTTTTTCTGTGCCATAGTTTCACACTTCTAGCAGGGGAACAAGACAAGTGCTGCTCAAGCAGGGACTGAATAAATAAATATATTATAAAGCAGATTTTCCTGACAGAGAAGCGAAGGGGTATTGCACAGCACAGAGGTAACTAGGAAAGCGTCTGCTCCTCCTACTCCAGTGCATACACAGACACCAAGACACAACACCCTGCCCATAGGTGATACATCCTCAGCATAATATATATAGGATGTCCCCAAGTGATCACTGCAAAACAAGGTGGAGGGGAATCCCTGTTTGTCGTGAATATGGATGTTTCTTCTCCCACCTGGAGGCACCTCTCCCATCTGCCAAACGTCACTGGAGACAGTCATGCCATGATCAGAGGGTCCCGTTACCACCCGAAATGCTTAGGGTGGCACTGGCAATGTCTGCATGGACTTACAGCCGGGTGGCAGGGCTCAGGGGTGACCGTGGTATGGCCAGGCCTGCCACACCCTCACAAAAAGGGAGAGAGCAATGGAAACCAGAGGTTTGGGGGTTAAAAAGAGCTGGTCAGCTCTTTTCCATAAAAAAGGGTAAAATGAGTTTTGGGTGTCAAAACAAACCCTGTGAGAGTGGAAGGAACACAGCTTAAATCACCGAGCCCCCTTGAGGCCATGCACTCCCCCTTGCCTTGCCACTCACCTTTTGATGACAAAATGGATGTTGTGCCTCTCCTCCAGTATCCGCTTGAGTTTGGGGACGCCGTAGGTACAAGGTCTTTTGAAGGGTATTTTGTCTGGGATGCCAATGATTTCTACAGCCTCGGGGTCGCAAGCAATCTTCCGGTACGGGACGGGGACCATGTGGTCTAACCCCAAGGCTTCAGCTGAAAGGTGAACGCATCGTTTTCATTTAAACATGCACTTTCCCTTCTCCAGGTGATAAAATGAAGGTGTAAAGGCTTGAACTCAAGCAGAGCGAGTGCCTCCTGCTCTCTTCTCCTTGGCTTGTCCCAGAAGGTGAGCCCGGGGAGCAGCTCGCCCATGGGAGATGGAACAACAGGGAGACAATGCAGCAGCAAACACAACTCACGGTGTCCTTCAAAACCCCCAATCGTGCCCAGCATTGCTCAAATCTGGGGTGAGCTGTCCCACATGTTGTCCCCAACCTCCCTGCAGCAGGTTGCTGAGCTATATAACTCACAAATTACACAGTACATATTTATAGCCCATTTACAACTCACGAATTACACAGCCTGATGGGAATGGTACAGGCAACAATCTCCAGCCCATCAGCCCATTCTTGAGCAATTTCCTGAGCTTACAGCTGCCCAAATGCCCAGGAACTATCCCAAAAGCACTGCCCATGGCAAGGGAAGGGCCAGTGATGCCCATAAGCTGTGCAGGTGGAAAAAAGCAGCTGCAATAAGGACAATCTTCCTTTTTCCCCTGCCACGTTAATTTAAAACGGCTGAATGCCACTGCTCCCCCTCGCCTGCAAGCGCCAGCGGTGCCCGGGTGCTCTGACCCCACGTGCCACACTTCAAACCAGGGCTGTTTTACAGCTCAGTTATAAATTCCTCAATGGTGCGGGGGGCTCCAAATGGAAATATTGACATAACCTTCAGCAGACACCCAGAGACTGGGAGCTGCTGGGCTAAATGTGTTAGGAAGAGAAGGGAGCTCTAGCATATGGCTTCTGCTGCTGTGTTAGGGAACAAAAATGATTGCTGTATAATGATATGCAAACCACAAGCGCTGCAGATGCATAATGGGATATTAACTCCTACTCACCATATCTGCTGTTAAACAGAATTTGCACGCACTCCCTAAGGGTGTTGATATCTTCAGTTTCTTTTATAAAACTGTCCCACTTATCTATCAAAACAAAATATAAGAAATAAGGAACTTCCATATGGTTCGTACACAGCAGATGCACTTTTCTCGCGCGAAGCGCTGGGAAGCAGGAACAAGACTTTGCTGCTTTAAAAATAATGATTTCCCTCTTCCCGAGCAGATTTTGCCAGGCTGGCAGATAAGGTCTGGGCTTCCCCAGCCCCAGCCCCAAGCAACCTCCTCTGCAGCCGTGCATGTGCAAAGCAGATTCCTAAGAAATGACCCCATAAAACTTCTCAACCCTGAAATGAAAGACCCTCCGGGACAGAACAAACTCAACCTGAAATGGACCTTTAAAAGGCACAGCCATTTCACAGAGAAGCTTTTTCATCTCCTTCTCTTTCTCAACTTTCCCACCCATATTTTTTTCTTCTTTTTAATGCAGGCAGGCCAGGGGTTTGATGTAAACATGTCAGCATTTTTAGGTTGCATTTCCCTTGGGTGGGGTGGAGGTGGGGAAATGGCAGAGGCTCCTCCCCATTGCTGAGATCCCCTCTGGGCACCGCTGCAGAATCACGCCAGGGTTAGTGGGTTTCAGTTATTTTGAAATAACACCAAGCTTTCGGCAGGTATTTGCTGTTTGCAGCTCAGGCAAACGGCCTCACCCAAAGCTGTGCCTTGGTTCCCTGTGTGTGAAGTGGGAATGGGATTTCCCAGCCGGTCCAGCACTTGAGGACCACGCATTGTGAGCATGGCAGGGATGGACCAAAGAGGGAACGAAGGTCTTGGCTGCAATGCTGAGACGTTGCAGCAAGTAAAGGGAAAAAAAATCTCCCACTGCAGCATCTCCAGCACTGCCAGGTCCCTGCAGAGCATGGAGATGGCTGGGAGACAGCCGGGGAGAAATGGGGGTGGGGGAAACCTTTCCATAAGAGGGGTCTGCCGGCCACCCCCAGCGCCAGAGCAGGACACAGACCTGTCTTGTCGTGGACAATGGAGAATAGGATACGCTTGGACGAGTGCACGTTCTGGATGAGGGGACCTCCGGAGACCGATGATTTCTGTCCTGGACAAGAGGGGAGACAAGGAGAATGGGCTGATGAGAGCCTGACCGATGCTCCAGGCACCCGAACAAGCCCCCGGGTGCTCTCGCCCGCCGGCTCTCCTCCATGCACCCTGTCCTGCCACAACCCAGCGGGGTCCTGGCCCTGAGCCCCCACTGCCCCCCCTCCAGCTGCCCCTCCAGCCTTGTGGCTCAGAACCCGGCATTTCAGGGCAAAAACGGAGGTGCATCCCTTCAGCACCTCGTAGGCACCCGGGGAAGGGCTGGGGCGGCGTGGCATGGCGGGGAGGGGGGGTTCTGCTCATCTCCATACGGGCCAAGCTTTGCACCGATTTTCATCCGAGGACCGCCAAAACCTCTGGGCCTGTCCCCTGACAGCGCCGGGGGAGCGGGCTTCACACCAGGCCCTCGTCTGAGAGCAAACTCCAGGCTATTACCACAGCAGTCGCTGTACTCCTGTGAGGAAGGCACCTTCAGCTCTCCCGCGGGCCTGGGCAGCAGCGCCTCGCCAGCCGCGTTCGGCCCGGGCAGGCCGGAGGACACCTCTTGCTTTAGGTCGACGGCGATCTGGGTCGGCAGCGAGACGCCGTATAAGAAGTTGGTGACGGCGACGGCGGAGGGGGTGTCCTGGCCGGCGGGTTTGGCCATGGGGCCGTTGGCACCAGAGTCCCGGCCACCCTTGGAAGTGAGGGAGGTACAAGTCAGCTCGACGCTGGGGTTCGGCTCTCGGCTGGGCTCATCTGCCGGCCTGAGGGGAAGGAAGGGAAAAGAGGAGGAAAAAACAGGTTCCTTTGGGTCCGTGGCAAGCAAGGATGTGGAGGGGGAAGGAGAGCCGTGCCTGGGAGGGTGGGACACGCCGCACTGCCAGCTGCCGGGCTCTTTTTTTCAGAAATTACAGCCATCACCCGGCCTCTTCCAGCTTCTTCAGGCACCTAGACTGTTTTTGTCTTCATTAACTGGAGCAGATTGGTCTTATGGTGGTTCAGTGTTTATATTAGCTAGGGCAAAGCTGCCTAGCTCCACAGCCCAGTGTATTTAAGGAGTAAAACGGTTTGTGTGACCGTAACCACTTGACTCCATTGGCTGTCCCAGCCCCCAGGACCCCATGGCACGTTCACGAGGGACCTCAGTCAGCCCAGGGATGAGCTTCAGACCAAGGAAGCTCATGTGCTTCACAAGAGACGGGCGTCCGCAAGCTCACAGACGGCTCAAATTCTGTGTGTCCTACTTTTAGCTGTCTCAGCCTGATTTTCCAGAAGTGCCGAGCCTTCAGAGGAGGTATTTGGTAGTGCTCAGCATTTCTCTGAATGGATCCGAGGTGCTGCCAGACAGGCAAACGCAGAGGAAACGCACCCAAAACCACTGAGCCCCCTGCGAAAACGTGGCCAAAATGGGGAGTTCACCCCGCCGCAGTCCCCCGCCTCCCTCCTCGTCTGGCGTTAAAAACCCCATTTCAGCCTGGGAAGAAGCTTGCAGCATTTACACTGGAAACCCCTCTGGAGACAGAAAAGCACTTAGCTTACCACAGCGGAAATTTTGGCGGAGACACATAAAGCGATGCGGTTAATGCGCACGTTTACACACGCTTATTATAGGAACAAGTCTGAAACGGTCTCGAGCCACCCGACACTGATGAACCTCCAGGTTTGACAGGGCTGGACCCAGGTTTCTGCGTCTGGGGGAGAAGCTGGGACATGGGAGGGACCCTCCTGCCTGCCCCATGCAAAATCACCACCATCCGCTGGCATTATAGGAGCCACCATCCCGAGGGCTCGCTGCCCTCGCATCCCTTGGGGATCCCCCAAATTACCTTTTTAGCCTGAAGCGGATGCTGTGGCTGTGCTCTAAGATGGCCATCAGGGACTTCACATCGTACTCCATGGGTTTCTTAAAGCTGACCCCTTCAGGCAAGCCAGCCACTGCCAGCGAGCCCGGCTCTTTCAGGAACCTCTCGTACGGCAAAGGGACCACGCTGCTCTTCCCCACAGCTTCACCTGGGGAGGGGGCAGAGTTACACACTGGTGGACACCCCACGCCCCCGACCATGGCCAAGCCGGGCTGGAGGAATAAATGCAAGAGCAAGAGATCCTGATGGAAATATTATGAGAAGAAAAACAATTCCTACCTCTGCACTTAGCACACAAGGACCTGCAAGCTCTAAGCTCTAATTAATAAAAAGCTCACAAAAGCCAATAAGCAGATGTCTCATCTTTTGGGTTGCATAGTAAAATCCTCAGTTGGGGTCACTTGGCACAAGCCCACCCGCTGTGAGCACCCAGACATGTGCCAGCGAGGGATGTGGCTGCCGGCAAGACGGGAGGGAGCTGACAAAGGAGGCTGAAGGGCTCGCGCTGATTTTTATCTCATGTTTACTGAGATATTCTGGGAACCTTATTTTCAGTCAGGTTTCTTATTTTACCTCCTGGAAGAATGGAAAGTACTTTGATTGCTGTTAGGCAGCCTCAATACACTTTGAAAGACAAGAAAAAACCCCCAACAGCCTCCCTCCATCCCACCATTCACAGGCAGCATGAACATCAATGCATTTGACAGCACAATCACCTCCAGCAGCCCAGAAATCTCACCCACTCCCCTTGACGATGGGCACAGAGTTGCCCTGTGTCCTGACCATGTGGCACAGGTTCCACTGTACCCCTGACACCAAAATCTCCCCGAGGAGTTAGGAACAAACTGCTTGCCCTTCCCCAGCAGCAGAAGACAACCAGCAAGCATTGCAGTTATACAGAGATTTTCTAAACTGGTTAAAGAGCGCACAGGCCCAAACTGGGGATGCTTACGGTGCTCTCCAGGCAAGACACTGTTGGAAAACCAGCCCCCTCTGAAGGGTTTCAAGGAATAGCCAAAACCCTTGAGCTGCTCTCTGTGGGAAAAATTACTTTGGAAACCAACCCAAGTCACTGCGACCAATAAACCTGGTGCTGAAAGCACGAAGCAGAAGAAACAGCCGTGCAGGAATGCGACCTGTCTGGCAAAGCAGCGTCCAGATGCAGAACATCTGGCTGCATGGCAAGGTGTCCACACCTTCATCTCCAGGCTGAGGGGCAGGGAGAGGAGCTTATGGGACCTTTAAATAGCTGTGGGATTTCATATTGTTGATTTTCTTTAAAATATTTTCTTTTATCTCTCTTTTTTAAAAAAAATAAAGCAAAACAAAACACCAAAAGATTTTACAGAAACCCTGGAAATCTTGTGGCACTGTCAGCAAGTCCTTATTAAAAGTGATTTCTTCAACATGTTCTTTGAAGGAATGCATGATAACTAACGACGTGCGACTTGCACAAGCCATCAAGGTTCCTTATAGGTGGGATGGATAATGTTTTAATTAAGCCAGTAACAGAAGTTTCAAAACGAACCTTTGAACCACAACACCACGAGTACACTTTCTGCAAGCTGATGGTTTCCCTGCCCCAATGTGCCAGCTCTATCAGCTTTCCACCTCCCTCCATCACCTCTCTTCGTGACGGGGAAAAGCTCCTAATGCCCACGGCGGTTCCTTATCAACCCAACGCTCAATAACTCCCCGAACATATTTTTATGGGAAATGCGTTACTGTCAAAGTGACCTTCACCAAGCCTCACACTGCCATGCAGAGGCTCACGGTTTAGCTAAAGAGAGACAATAATCATCATTAATGCCTGTTTAATAGAAGCTGGCAGTAATCAGTCATCCTGTTGGTGCAGAGATTACCCAGCTCTGGAGGGAATACGCGATCTTTTTGACTGAGCATTTTCTAAGATTTTTTTGTTTCCCATCCCTGTTGATGGTAGGCGGCCGAAAGGATAAAAAAACCCAAACCTGTAAGAAAGATAACTGTTAATTTCTGTCAGTCCTCTCAGTGTTGGAAACAGAATCACCCTGGGGCACCTATTATCTCCTGAAGTACTTCCCCCCACTCAACCAGGGGAGGCTGTTCCCCGTGGGCATGCCGGGAGGGGAACATCTGCCCGGTGGGTTTTGCCATAGAGCAGCTCGGGGATGGAAACAGCTGAAACTACTGAATCAGCAGCAAAGGCAGAATTACACTCAATGCCAGAATTACACCCAATGCTGGAACTACATCCAGTGCCAGGGCCAAAACCACCTTCCGAGGGATGCCCAACCTCCTCCTGCCATGGCAATGCCAGTCACCCTGGGCTGGGGACCCAGCCAGCTTGCACGTTGCGCACCTCGACAAGGTAAAAAGCATCACAAACTCATCCCGATGGATGGGCCGCCTGGTTCACACACCCCACATAGATGCATCCTGATCAAGCCTTTTTATGAAATTACATACTTATGGTATGTCATATATGAATAATTCCCGTATCCCCAAGAGGCCTGCAAAGCCTGGCGCTCTCCCAGCAGCAAGATGATGAGACCTGCAGCTCGGAGCTGGGATCCAACCAACGCCAAAACACCCTCCCCACCCCATTCCCTTGGCTCTTCTGTGTGCTCCTTCCTTTCCGCTTGGGCCCAGACTTTTGAAGGCAGCAAGAGGATTTGATTACCCCTGTTAATGGGGATATTGCCTCCAAGTCCTTTAAGTGGTTTCAGAAAACCTCAGCGACTGTCTGTCCCTGGGGGAAGGGATGCCATCTCCCCTTTCTGTCTGTGAAGCCTGTGGCAAGCGCTGGCGAGACGAGCGCCGAATGACAGCCAGCAGCAACAAATGCTGCATGCGAGCCCCGGGTGGTTGGTGAGAGCACCCGCTATCCCCCTCCCATCGTGTGTGAGCGCCCACCCCCCAAACCCAGCACACAAACAGGGGCAACGCCTGCGCTTCGGGCTCGGGGAGACCCCCACAGCCCCGGCAGTTTCGGTGATGGGGGAGCTGAATCCACGGGGGCTCCAGCAGGGACCTCCCGAGCGAGAAGCAGGCGCTGCCGCCGCTCGAGCCTCCACAGATTGGGCCCGGAGGGAGCTCTGCAACCCACTGGGTTACATATCAACAGCCATATGGTCATCTACATTTTAATTGCAGAAGCTTTATTGCTGGGGATGATGCATGTGCTGGAACGGCACCAGCTCGTCTCTCGGAGCCGGGGCTGCAGGGCTGCCTGCTAGAAAAACCATCTTTTTTCCTTTTAAATAGACTTGCCAGGGAAAGGGGTGAGAGAGTCTCTGCAGAGTCTCGGTACAGCACTTGTGAAAGAGATGCTGTAGATGTGGTGTCGAGGATAAAGGTGTGCTTGACAATCATACCTGGGGCATGGCAGAGGCTTGCCCTGGCATGGGGCACAGAGGATGCTCCCCCAGCACAGGGGTTTTTTTTTGCCCAGTTTGGGACACTGGATAGTGAAGAAGCAGTGGCTGGATCCCTTCTCAACACAACGCTAACCCTACGCAGGAGCACGTCCCGCCACGCTGCCCCTGCCAGGCGCCTGCTCCCTCGCCGAGGGGCTGGGCTGGGGCTGAAAGCCACAACCGGCAGTGGCACCGGGCAGCTCAGCGAGCCCCGGGGGCAATCCAAATCCCCAAATGGAAGCGTGAAGGTTCTTACTATAAAGCACATCAAACACTTCCTCTACCATCTTCCTGAGGAGGTACACGTCTGATCCCTGGTCCGGGGAGACCCTGAGCACGCTTCGCCCGCACTCCTTTGCCTTCTTCTGCGCCTCCGTGTCCTGCTCCTTCCTCTGCTGGACTCCTGTGAGGGGGAGAGGAGAAAATGGGAGATGCTGCGGTGAGAAGAGGGGTTCATGGGCAATGCTGCACGCGTTTTCGAGTGGCTGCAAAGCAGTTGAACCTGCCAGCCAGCTGACACTAACTTCAGCCAGGGCTGAATGCGTCGCTGCCCACCAAACCCCAGGCAAGACGGGGTCCCGTGGTGCCGGGCCCCTCGCCACCCCCACAGCAACTGCAAAGTCCTCTGGTTGGGCAGATGGGTGCCCCGGGTCTCCCACCCACCCCAGTCCCCCAGCTCGGATGGGGCCACGGCTCCCAACAGCCCCCAGCGTGCAGGGGACGGTGCTGGCATGGGCAGCAGTGCCAGCAGCGCAGCCAGGAGCGGGGTCGATCATCCTGCGTGTGCCCCCCCTTCCCTGTTTTTACCCACTCAGCTGCACTGAAACTGTTGTGATTAATTGGGCAGCACATTTCTTTTCTCTGGTTTCAATCTGCTTAGCCTTCAATCTCTCAGGAAAAGAAAATCCGCCTTTCTTGGAGGCTTTTTTACCCTTCAGCGTCACGTAGCTCAGTAATACCAGCTATTTCCTGCTAATTTCCCCCATTAAACCTCAAATAAAGCATATCTTTGGCAATGACTTCCTTGCATCTCTGAACGCACAAAAAATTAAACACTACAAGTACATTATTGCTGTTCTATCCAAAGCAATTCACAAGGGATTTTCAGTGGCGAAGGACTAATTCCTTCATCATCCTTGACAGGCTCCTGCCAGTGATCGGCCCTGGATGCTGCCCGAGCGCTCGAGGAGGAGCTCATGGATCCCTGCCATGGAAACAGCCCGTGGCTGGGACATCACTGGGATGGGGACAAGAGCCACCTGGGGTAGCCACAGAACTAGCCATAAGAAAGGGGAAGGCCACCCAACCCCATGCAACCACTGGTAAGCTCTGCATGCCTCCCATGGCACGGGGAAACAGGCCCTGGAGAACTTTTTTGGGGGTGTTTTACCGAAGTGGTGAAATGCATCTGCATCCACACCCTCCTATGACTGACTCTACCTCACGGCTGGGCACTAACTCTCCTCTGTTGACATTAATCCTGATCACTGTCAAGTCCCCCCGTGCACCAGGAAAGGCTGAGCCAGAGCTTCAGATAAAGGAGGGCGTTCAAGTAAGGTCTGCACGCCCAGAGAGATAAGAGGCTGCTTACATCTCCCAGTGATGTCTGCTTTAGATTATTTCAGATCGTTTCTGAGGGGGCAGCTAGATCATAAATCAGAGGCACTTTCAGGGATGCTTTCCACTGCGTGCCAGTTGTAAGAGCTTTATGGAGCAGAGTTGAGCCTGGGCCATTTATAATTCAAGACAGAGTTATCACGTTTCACCCTGTCTCCAGCACTAGCTGCTTTGCCCAGACCCCATCGTCAAGATTTTGTGCTTTCAACCAGACATGACCATTTTATTTTGACAAAGGTGTAAATGAAACCAAAGGAGAGGAGAATGAGGAGCTAATGTCGGGCGCTTTGCCCAAGCACAGCAGTAGGTCACTGGCCAGGATGTATGTATATATATTTCTAAAAGTGAGATTTGCAGATGGTCATCAATATTGTGAGCTCTAGAGAGACAGTTGGCATTTAATATATAAGAAGGAGCTCCCTCTCATTGGCCACCCGCTGCCGTTCAGTGCTTGGGTACGTCCCTGCCTCTTGCGGGTGGTGGGAAGGGGAGGCAGAGTCACCCAGGAACACAAGAAACGTCCCCAGAATGCCTCCTGTCCTGCAAAACACGGCACACCAAAGCAGCGGATAACTGCCGGGTGCGGGTGGCGTGGTGGGGGCAGCGGGCAGGACGGAGGGGCAGAGCGGAGCCTTGGCAGGGAGCTGCTCCTGCAGAGCTGTGCCGGCTCGCCCCGCACATGTGCAGCGAATGACCTGAGCAGACAGCGACCCTGGCAGCTTTACAGCGCTCGTGTTTTCACCAGAGCGAACCCTTCCTGAGCAATCTCTCTCCAACGGATTAAGCACCAATATGGTTTCTGTCAACACCATGCGTGTGCACACACAGCCAGGTCGTTTCTCTCCACCGAGATACAGCGTGTGTGAGCGGATCCAGGCCTGGGGTCCCCCCAGCTCTGGGGTCCTCAGCACCACCAAAGCCAGATCCTGTCCCAGCTCCTGCAGGGAGTGGGGAAACAGATGATGCCGTCTGAGAAATGCAGGTCCCCGTTCACAGCACAGCTCCCACCTTCCCCTCAGCTCCCAGGTTGTTTTTGGGGGAGCTGGCAGAGGCACGGACCGGGGACAGAGGGCTGGGTGCCAGCCTCACCGTATGCAGGGCTGCCACCGGTCACACACGTCCCTGTGATACCTGGTGACCTTGATCTGAGTCTGAGGGGACCACAGCACCTGCTCAAGGCATCCTTTCACCACTGTTAGCCTCTCAAAAAAATAAGCAGTTCCACAACCCACACCACTAGCTCCCAAATCCATCCCTGTCTTTCAAAAACTAGGAAAAAAAGCCTTGGCCCAAGAAAGTCTCTCTGCTCCTGGGGGATCACTAGGACAAACTATTTCTGCCAAGTCCTCAAATGGCACTCCAGCGCAGCGGCAGTGCTGCTGCAGGCTGGCAGCACCAGGGGAGCAGAGCAGCCATCCAGCCCCCTGCCCCCCCCGGGATGTTTTTGGAGAGGAGAGCTGGGGCACGTGGTGCTTTCCATGGGAAAGGAGAGGCTCTGGCTGCAGCTCCTCCCGGCTCTCTCCATCGCTTTAAACACCACTCAGCCCCGCAGACAGACCACACCGCGGTGCCCTCCAAATCACAGCCCTCCTGGGTCCCAGCTGGCACAACCAAGCTCGGCGCGGGGGCAGACCGCGCCGGCAGGGATACTCACTGCAAAACTTCTGGAAGTCAGCTTGCAGCTCCTTGCGGGCGCTGAGGAAGACCCGTCCCTTCTCGGTGCCCACCACGAAGGCGCTCTCCTCGTGGACGGCGATGCAGGCCACCTCCGCGTTCAGCTTGGAGAGCGCCGAGCACTGCGGGGAGGCACCGGGTCAGAGCGGCTGCGGGACCATCCCCGCTTGGCACCCCCTGCCATTTTCCAGTGGGGTTTTTTTCTTCCCATCAGAAGACTCCCCCATCAAAAGCAATGTTCTGGTTTGGGTCAGATTTTCACGGGGTTTATGACATCCCCTAAAGTCACTTCGGTGACTTTACAGCTCCAGAAAGGTATCCGGCCAAGCTATGCTTTGCTGAAAAACAAGAACTATTTACCCATCATTTCGCTTCACTTTTTCCTACCCTAAAAGTAAATATTTTATAGTATTTCTTTAAAAGAAAGCATTCCTGTAAAAAAAGAAAAACCAACAACAATTTGTATTTTTCCACCAGCTCTAATGAAATAAGGAGCACGGGAATCTTATTTCAGCTGCAGAACACTAATATGGTCAAAGTCTGGATTAGTCAAACGATTCTTCTTGTACAGTTATGCAAAACATTAAAGAGATGGAAAAGACTTCCTCCATTAATCTGTTTTATGTAATATGCGCTTCCTGCTCTACATAATACACATGTATATGTGTTTTTGTTATTATTTTTTATATTATAATAGTTATGCAGTGCTGGCAGCCTGAGTCATATTCCCATAGCTACAGCACCAACACTATAAAGATGCTATCCTCAGGTCAGAATTTAAAAACCAGGGGGGCTTTTCCCATCGGCAGCCCTGGTTAGACACATCATCTGCCCCCGGCACCGTGGGGGGGATGGAGGATGCTGGCAGCTGAGGAGGGAGCAGGAAAGCAGCTGCCCCAGGACCATCCCCCCCCCCCCTCCCCCCCCAGCTACCTTCAGCTCCCTGCTTACATTTACGCTGAGTTTGATTTGCGTGGGCTTAACCAGTCTCTCTACTAGGTCATTTTACCTCCTGCTCACCTTCTTCAAGAAGGAGGTATTGAGTCATACCCCCCCAGAATAGTTATTTTTAAGAACCTCCTTTCAAAAACCCAGCAGCCAATGGAAGTATTTTGCTCAAAAAAAAAAAAAAAAATCTAGGGGACTTGAGATTTGGAGGCAGACCAAATCCAAACCCTAAGCCCACTTGGCGATGGACACGTGGCCCTCTGGTTTATTTATCTTGCACACCGGCAGCCAGGCTTCGGTGGGTGTGGAGCCCAGCCCTGGTGAAGTGCTGGGATAAAGGCTGGATTTCAGGAACAGCCTGGCCTCCTGGCCCTGGTGTCAGCACGTAACAAGGACTGCAGAATAATGTACATTCATTAAGAAGCCAAACTACGATAACATGATTTGCTGTACAGGATGGCACATATATAAATCATCAAAGCTGCTTGGGGTGTGTCAGCTCCAGAGAACCTGCTCCTTAGTGAGGTGGTGATGGTTAAAAAGAAGGAAATTAGTATTAGTGAAAAAAAACCCTACCTTCATAGAGAAGATGACACATCCAAGATAAATACATTAAATATGACTTAGCTTTAAAAAGGGAGGGCTATTTAGCATGTCGCATTGCATTAAATATTTGTTACTACACACCCGCTTTCCCTTCTTGATCACATTCACAGTTAAAAATAAGATTAGCTCTGGTCCACGAGACTTAATCCAGACAGTTATCTTGTTTATGTAAGCACGACTGACTTAGGCAAGGTTTCCACTGGGAATTCTACGTCAAAAGATATGAAAGTTATTTTCTTTGTTCTCAGAGATAAAAGCCATTGTTCTCCTGTTGTGTAAAAGCTCACGGTAACATTGGTAAAACATCAAGGAAAAAAAAAAACAACCACCCTACATTCAGTTGATACCAACATAAATATTAATGGGAAAACAATACACATCTGAGATTAACTTGAGCTGACTTTATGATCCTTATGGCTGTCAAAGTGGCAGAGGATTTTTATTTCCCAGCTCCAGCAGCTCCCTGGGCTTTCCGGCAGCAGAGGGGAGCAGGACGAGCTCAGCAGCCCTCCTGCTTCAGCCCTGCTCCCCGCCAGCCCCGCTAAAGGGAGGCGAAGGGTGGGAGTGGGACGGGGACGTCCCTGGCCTCTTACCATGGAGTCTAAGGCAGACACTAAGCTGGTGATGATTTCGTCTTTCTGGGGAAAAACCATATTCCACTGGTCAGCTCTGGAGGTGCTGAGAGTCACGTCTAAAGGCTTCCCTGCCAGGGCCATATTCACCTAGAAATAGAAAAAAAAATGGTATATGTGTTGCTGTTAGTGACTGGGAGCCGGCGCTGAGCATCGCCAGCATGGCCCAATACCGGCGTGTGCCATGGGCTATGGCGCGACGCCAGCGTGGGTACACAGGGGAAACTGAGGCACGGAGAGGCTGGGGCCAGCCTGAGCCCCCTGTTCCCCACATCTCCTCTGCTAGAGGCAGATAATTGCAGACGCTGCTGAGCCATAACCAAACCCTGGGGCCAATGCTGTGTGTTCCAGCAGCGGCCAGGTCACCTCTGCCCTCGGGACTCACCCCCAGGGAGATGCCGGCACGGTGCGGGGGGTGCCGGGCTGCTGGATTGGGGGGGACACCCCAGATGAGAGGGCTGTGGCCGTGCCGAGCCCGAGGATGCGGCGCTGAAGCAGATGCAGGGGCTCCCTTGCCCGAGCTCTGCAGGGAGCAGGGGGCAATGCGTGCGGACCCGCGAGGACACCGTGCTGGCCATCCCCGTGCCTCCCTCCCCACACCCCGGGCAAGAGGAGAGCCTGGCACCCAAAGGTGTCCCCGAAGCAGGCCAAAGCCACAGGGTGCTCTGCCTTCACCCCAAAGGGAGAGAGGCAGCTCATGGCGAGGGGCTCCGTCATCAAATCGTCCCACCCCACCGCTCCTGGGGAACCGTGCTGGTGGAGCAGGACTGGGCAGCGGCGCATCCGAGAAGGGGCTCAGCTCCGGGAGCTCCATCCCTCACTGCAAAACGGGGAAAAAAAGGGGGAAAAACGCTGGGGCCTGGTGGCCACACGTGCCACAACTGCACCAGGTCTCTGCACCCCAGTGCCCACATCTCACCGTGACCCGTGGCGATGCCAATGCTGCAAGGGAAACTGAGGCAGGGGCTGACCCTGCATAAATCACCCCACTCCCACGCTGGGGCACTGACACCCGATACAGCATCACCTCCCAGCACCCAACACAGTGCCTCCCAGATATTGCCCCTCCGTCCGCGGGGCAGCGTCGCGCCGCTCAGCTTTAATCCTGCGAATAAAGGGTGGCAAATTAGCCAGCAATGCTCAGGAGCCACTCGAACCAGATCATAAATCATGTGCTCAAAGCCACAAGCGGATAAAAGAGGCCGGAGAATTTCTAACGAGGCGAGATGGGCAGGAGCTGGGGAATATGAATGACTCTGCCTGCGCGTAACTCGATTTGCAGCGCGGCCGATAACTGCGGCCGCTCGGCCCTGCTGAAAACAAGGGGTAAAAGTCAACAGCAAAAACCCAAGTTCACCTTGCTGCCCCAGTTTGCACCCGTGCCCAAGCAGAAGGGATCTGCACACAAAGCGGGGCTGTGCTCTCCCATGCAACCAGGGAAACGGTGGATTTTGGCCCAAAATAACAAGTCCCCCCATTCTGGCATCTCTGCAGGTGCCCGAGCACGCACAGGGAGGGGGCTGACGAATGTACGCTCGGCCCTGCAGAACCCCGCGGTTATGTGGGCACGCAGCAAGCTAGCGAGAGTGGAGACGATTCCCTGTGAAACAATGATGACTGAATTTCAGCAATTGCTCTCGATGAGCCCTCCAGGCTGCCTTCCCCGGCGCGGCGAGCTGGTGAGAGCAGGCAAGCAGGGCTGAGGCCTCGCCACCGCTTTTGGACAGCAGAACCGCAGCCGTGCCAGCGCTCCTGCTGCGCCACGCTGACAGCCACCCCGCAAAATCCTCTTACACCCAGCTGACACTTCTTAATGAAGCTGACGGACAACTCTTCTCCCCCAGGATGATGTTGGGGGGAAAAATAAACAAACAAACAAACTAACTAGGTGCCAGCTTGGAAAATAAAGCAGGGAACGGAACACGCGGTCCTGGCAGCCTGGGTGCTACCACCCTCCGGCACAGCCCCCGAGGTGTCCCCACGCTGGGGACCAGGCTCTGCCAGGCACCTCCAGCTTTACCAGCACAAAGGGTTGCAGCAGTGCCAGGAAACGGTCCGCCTCGCTCCAGCCCTGCAGTTTGTGCATGCAGGGATGGATGGAGGGAGGACCGACCATTTCGGGTGCAAGCTCCCGAGCAGCTCCCTGGGCGCAGGGAACTCCAAATTCCTTCTTTTAATTGACGTCGTGTTAATAAGAGGTGCCTTGTTGCAGCTGGCAGGGAGCAGCGAGGTGGCGGCGGTGCCGAGGCCGGCCCTGAGCCGCTCTCCCGGCCTGCGGGACACGGGGCAGCCGCAGCGCTGGGCTGGGGACTGGCCATCACCTGGGGGCTGCCATCAGGAAAGGACTCGGTCCAGGGAGCATCACTCCCTTCCTAACCCCCCCGCCAAGCACTTGCTTGGAAAACAGCCTTATTTTGATGTCCCTACATATTTCTGACTTCCCTAATTATTAAATATGACTGCTATGACATGGATGTTCTTGTCACCTGCCGGCAGCGTTTTGGAGAGTTGATCCCTGCCTCGGCGGGGCTGGTTGCAGCCCCTCGGAGAGCTCAGGCTGCACCAACCTCCACGGCCACAGCCTCCCATGGGAAGCGGCACTTACAGGGAAGAGATGCTCCTCCCTTGGCTGCGAAAAAAATGGCCATGAGCTGGATCCGGCCCCAGAGGGGGAAGCGAAGGGAAATCCCGGGATAACGTCAGTGGAAAGTGGAGCAGGGTCCCTGCACCTCCTCCCAACCCACACCATGCTCTGCAGGAAACTGGGACAAATATAATCCCTTTCACCTGGCTGATTGTTTAATAAGGAAGAGAGAGAATCACTCAAGAAGAAACAAAATTACAATAAAAATACGACCCAAGTAATACAACAGGACTTTAAGGGAACAGGGGACAATATTCCTGTAAAGCTTTTAATCGTTTATGGTCACGAAGAGCAGTGACAGCAGATTTAAAGAAGGGGGGGAATAAAAGGGAGGAAAAAAATTTCACAGCAAGCACTAGGCTTATTCAAATCAAGACGTATGGTTTGAAGTTGTTTGTCTAATCGAAGGGAAAGTAATCTTTAGGAAAACTGGGGTAAACCATTCTTATAGCAGTTAGGGCTGGTGGCAGGGAACACGGTAGGTAGGATAGATGCAGCGCATCCTGCGTTGCTTCCCAGGGCTCCACATCCCCATCCTGCTAAACTCCCACCCGAGGCACCCACCAAGGGGTTGATTTCCCCCTGCCAGCCCGCAGCGGGGGCTCAGCTCCAGCCCCAGCCCCATCCCACCTCTGCACGCCGAGTCCCATCCCCAGGGGCACAGGGTGACTCAGGGACCGTCATGCCACTGTCACGGGGCCAAGCCAAACATTTGCAGATTGATTTTACTTTTTTAATCTAAAAAATTTTTTTTTGCCTTATTATTTAATTTTTATTATTTAATTTTATTATTAATTATTTCTCCCCCCTCCGTGGGGACGGGATGAGCAGTGCAGGAACAAGGGTGCCATGCCACAGCCAGCACAGGATGCCATCGTCTGCTCAGCTCTTACGACACCTCCTTCCTCGCCTGCCTTCATAATCCTGGGAAAGATTATAAATTTGGCCCCAGGGGAGTTTCACTCATGAATCACCTGGGCTGCAGCGAAGGAAAAACGAGGCACGTGGGGAGGCTCCTGAACCCTTTCAGAAACAGCAGCGTTCCCCCCAACCCTGGGGGGGCATCCCCCTCTCCACCCTCCCGGCTGCTGCCGCAGGGCAGCATCTCTCCCCAAAATAAACATCCTCCAGTCTTGCATGCTGCGTCACCATTTCCAAAGTGTTCAGAGCAAACAAAACAGTTAAAAGGGAAAAAAAAAAAAAAAAAAAAAAAAAAGCAAATCAACAACAACCCCCCAAAGGAAATTTCCTAGCAGAAAATGGTGGCGTTATTATATCCCTTAAATTATAAACAGGTTCAGTTAGGAGAAACCAAGGGAAGTTTATGCGAGCCAGCAGCTCACACGGCGCAGCCCCGGCATCACCTGCCAGGCTGGGGCTTGGTTCTTGGCAAGGACGGGTGCTGTGAGCTCCTGGTGTTGACTTTTGTTCCCCTTCTTGCTCATCTTTTTAAGCCTTACAGCAATTTCCAGCCTCGTGCCACAACCAGAAGCAACAGTATCTTATTTATTAAGCCGAGCTGGTGTTGCCACACTGCCATGGTGGAGCTTGAAGAAGGAACCCCGCTGCTGTCTCCCCCACTGATTTCACCTTGCCGTGTACAAAAGCTTTATTTAGCATAAACCCCAAAATCCAGACTCCTAACAGGAGCCATGCACTTACCCGGGACTCACAAAACTGGACTGAACTTGTTGCTGGCTCTCCCCATGCCCGCTGATCCTTTGGGCCACCCTTGCCATCAGAAAAAAAGAGGCAATAAGCACTTTTTTGGGAATTACCCAAGGCCAAACCCAGCGCAGAGCGGGAAACGCTGAGATGGCAACGGCCAAATGCCCAGGAGGGACTGAGGACATCCTGCATCTGCTTCTTCTTATATTACTATCTACCAATACTAGTTTTAAACTGAGTGATTTATTTCTTTTATTTTCCTGCAGCTCTACAGTATCTTAAAAATGTAACCGTGGCAATTTTCACCGCATGAAGCATCTCCTTTAACAAAGACACCAGACCACTCAAAACCTTTGCAAAGCACCCGCCAGCCGGTGCCCCGACCCAAACCTGTGAGCAACGTGGGTGCAACGGCCGAGTCTTCCAGTGCAGCCCCTAAACCAACAACTGCATCATCCATGGGCGACAAGCCCGGGGGACACCGGCTCAGCTGCGGCACCAAGGAACCGCCACCGGCATGGAGCGTGCCGGGGGCTGATGGCAGCAAGGGAGACGTGAAAAACTGGGGAACAACATGGACAGTCCCAAACAGACGGTACCAGCGTCCCCATCTTGTCCTACAGACACCACAGCATCACCACAGAAATACCACAGCATCACCACAGAAATCCCCCCGCACACCCGGCTGGGATGTTTATAAAGCCTCCGACCGCGTGGGCTAGCTCCCCGTTCAGGGAGCCAAACAGGAATCTAAATTAATGAGAGCTTTGACTGTTCA